TATATATATATATATATATATATATTATTTTAATAACAATTGTAAAACGAATAATAAAATATAACGAATAATAAAATATAACATGAAAATATGTACAATTTTTTCGTTTAAATATTCGTAAATTAAATTCAAATTATATTACAATAATATAATGACTGGTATCGCCCCCAATGGTGACACTACCCATCGATCATTCGGAGCCAAGGATAATTACGCATTATCAGGAAAAAAAGTATGTCCCAAAAAATTGACATAAATACGATCGACGATTCTGCCATGGAGGCAGTATTAGACACGGGAGGATAGTTGCTCTGTTCGTTTAGAATATTTCCAGCAAATAGCGTAGTGCCACTAGGCCTCAAACCTGGACAAACTAGATAACATGTGAGTGAATAATATCAGTGATTCATTATGAATAAATGTATTTGTTTATTAATTAAATGCACCGCGCGGTCTACTATTTTCAATAAATCATTCAGGGCATTATCTTATTTATGATGTCTTTTGAGTCAGCATGTACAGATTTTCATATTAAATCGTTGTATTTCTGTGACTTAATTTAATTAGATTTTTGGTCCATAATTTGGTGAAAAAAATCAGGATCTAGGATCAGGATCTAAGTTGTTTATATATAACAGTGATATTTAACACTTCTTGCATTCGGTTAATAATGTTTTATTTTCATTTTGATTTGAATGTACTCTAATTGTAAGTAGTAAAATATAAAGATATATTTCTTTTCCAAATTTTCGTAATATTTTATATTAATTTTTTTTGCGTTCAACTGATTTCATAAAGATTCGTATACATTTCTGTTGTATTTTGAAAACAGGTGTGATTTAATTTGTGTTATTTAATTCTATGCATTTATGAAGGTAACAAAACAGTTAGAATTAACACAAATTTATTTATTGAAGTGCTTATATATAGTGTGTATTAATATCCTATATTATCAATTTCATTTCCTTTTTTTTTTTTTTTGCAACTCTAATTTTGTATCCCAAGCAAAAACAAGACATTTCCAAGCACGTTGGGAAAAGCTAATTTGAAAAATTAATCGATTTGATATTAGTGTTTTTATAAATATTAAGCGTACTTTTAGTTTGAGCAAATCCAAGTTACTATTACGAAAAACTATTTGTATATTAAATATAAAATTTCAATTTATATATATTTATGGACTTTATTGCATGACATTGTCGATGAATTAACTAAAGTATGAAATCGTGGAGCTTTGTGTCAAGTGCAACAAAAGAACTGTGTGAATGAACCTGACCAGGCTAAAAAAAAATCGAAAGCTCAAATTCGAACTTGAATTTGACTCGTAGCAAACTGCTCAATTCGAACCAAAACTGGTTTGAATCCGGTTGATGGCAAACCGATCCGGTTTAATAAAGTCGACGTCACTAATAAATTTATTTATTTATTTATTTGTCTATTCTATGATATCTTATTATTAGAAAGTTGAGAATAAATTATTTTGATTTTGTGCACTGCAATTGAAAACATCCGCTTTTTTAATTTACGCTTTACATGGATAACGACGACATCAAAAATCTTCAAAGACAAAAATTCTTGTCTTTGAGATCATAACTTTATGTGTTAATAAGTAATAAAACTTGCCAATCTAATATAACAAAATAATGGAGCACGTAAAAATATCAATTTTTTACTTTATTTTATACATGTTCTTCAAAAGATTTCTGGCAAAAATGCATTTGATTTGAAAAATCAATTTTCTGTTTATAAATAATTTTATGTTTCCGAGATATGGGATGTCCCCATCTTCAGTATGTGTTAAAACAAACTTTCTTTATTCATTTATGCACTTAAAAAAAAAAACTTCACATCGTTGAAAACTTCTTTAAAAATTGAAAGAATTCACTTATCAAGTTCAAAAATTAAAATGTAAAAAATAATTAAAAACTCACTATAAAGTAACTCATGCATTCATAAAAAAAACAGTAAATGTATAATTTAATTTTTGTCTTACAATTAGTGTGTTTGAATAGATTTAGTACATTCAATTAGAGTTTATTTATTTTTATTTTATTTTCAATTAGTTTACAGGTAAAAAGTGAAATAAATGTATATTCTTTTTGGTTTGATTTAACAGTTCTTGAAGACGGAGACACCATATATCTCAAGAACGAAAAAACTGAACAATCTTTTTATTTTGATCAATTTTTTTGAATTATATTGGCAAGTTTCATTACTAATTAAAATATAAAGTAATGAATTTTGATGAACAAAACATAATTAAACCCTTTGTTATCTAGGGGAAATATTATTTAAAAATATACATGTGTATAAATTCAGGTCAATTAAAAACTTAATTAGTTCAGAAATTTATATATATATATGTATATATATATATATATATATATATATATATATATATGTGTGTATTTTAACCTTTAATTCTATATTTATCTACATGCGTCATGAAAATTGCAATAATGAAAAATGATGCAAAATGATTAAGTAATATATGTGCTCTCAATTTAGATTTTTAATTCCATGCATAGATACTTCAGTATGTGCAAAATCATCAGGTCAAAAATGCATTAAACATCAACAAAAATTTAAAAAACGTCCTCTTAGCTGTTGCTAGCTCAGCTTTGACCATGAGTAATATAGATAACAACGGATCAATGTTTCAATATAAACAGCAAAACCATTGACATTCTCTCTAAATCTCGAGAAAAACAACAAAGTATATTGTATTTCTTTTAATTAATAGTAAAATCAAGTATCAATGTATTAGTGTCGTACAAACTGTCTCAGCAAAAATATTAGAATTAACAAAACAAAAAATCGATACATTTTTCTTGACCTAACGTTTAAGTCTCCTTGAACTATTCACAGTAACAAGTGTGGCGAGTTCATACGTAATATGTACATATGTGCGTACATGACGACAATATTTTGCCCAAAGCACAAAAATAGATTAAATGATTACTTAAAAATTGTTCTACATGCAACCAGTTTGTCGGAAATGATGTTTCAATTCATTATAAAGATCATTATAAAAAATAACGTAGCTGCTGGATATCGAAGGTATATCAATTAACAAAAAGTAACATATTTATCAATTGGAATCTAAATACATGGATAAAATCAAAACAAAAAGTACATTGAATTTTTCTATTAGAAATTCATTTAATTAACTTATTAGATATCTTATGGTGAAAATGAATTCTTTAATAATATAAAAATAAAATTTATGATTTCTAAGTATTATTAAATTAAATTTTAAACAAGATTTTGAATATATTTCCTTTAAAATAGAGTATTTACGTAAGCTTCATTAAAACATCTAATTATTTTAAATTAAATACTAGTTACAGTTTGCTTTGAAGACACCAAATTCAATTCAAATTTGTTCATTAACGGTTCTGTGCAAATAATTTTTAATTAAAAAAAAATCTCATTAAGCTTTTGAGCTTGAAATTATAGGATGATTGCTGCTTCAATGAATTTTCACTAATAACATTGACGTTATAATAAAATTCTTCTGGAAAAAAATATTAATATTTTAGGAAAGTAATGCGGACATACCTTAAAGTTCTGATATTTCATATTTAAAGAGTAAAATTATCTGTTTTTTGTTTTTAATTCTGAAAAATAGTGTATGTAATGTCTAAAAGATTGTAATGCAATAGTTAGAAATCTAGTAGTTTCACCAGAAATGGATTTTTATGACGACCTAGGGCACTGACAAAAAATGCCATACACTATCACTGAAATTTGGCCCTATTATTAATCAATGAAGTTTGTTTTCAGAAAGGCATGAATAATTTTAAAATATTTTTAATTTTTCAGAAAAACTACATATATTTATTAATTCCGGAAGATACAAGAATCAATTATCTTTTTAATTCTTTATGAAAATAAATTATTTAATCTATTTTAATAGGTTTCACTCAAATTTTCAAAATGATAATAGACAAAGTTATAATGTTATACATATTGCATAAATTATATTTCTTGAAACAAAAAATGTTATTAAGAAAAATTAATTTGTATAGAATTTTTTCTCGCTTTTCAAATTTTGCCACCCTAGAAAATTTGCCGCCCTGGGCACTAGCGACGACAGCCCTTACTGAATTGTTAAAAATTAATCTATTCAGGATCGCCCTTACTGAATTGTTAAAAATTAATCTATTCAGGATCGCAATCATTTAGTATTTTTCTTTAAACAAAATTATGAAACGATTTGATATAAATCTTTTGTAAAGAAGAAAAAGTTATAAAAAAACAATACTTATCGTTCTTCATTTAAAAAAAGCGCATACAGCATTAAAAATAAGAAGCTATTATTTTTTAGACATTTTCATTTGCGCCTAATATTCTTTGTAATTTGGTTAAAAAAATAATACTCGACGGTTAAAAAAATAACGATTAAAAGTATTTACTCAGACTCTTATGGGCCCCAGATTTTTAGAAGAAAAATAAATATGTAGGCCATGAGAACAACTATTCAAAAAAATATATTGCTCTTTTTTTGCAAATCGTGAACTCCTCGTAACTCTTTATATTTTTTGAATTTACAGGATATTGAATCTCATTGTACGTCATTTGGCTTTCGGAATTCAATAAAGAAAAGCGTTTCTATTTCATTCACTAAAGCCAACATTAAAATCCACCATTGGGTTTCGTCCACTTTAAATAAATGAAATTGTTGTTCTTTGGTTATTGTCCAATTTTTGGTACCATATTTTATACAAAGATTTAGCGGTCACAATTTGGTTAACTGATGGCAAAACAATTTCTACATAAATCACTATTGTTTGAATTAAAGAACTGAAGAAGACTCTTGTTCTTCTCTGTTTGTCCCATCTCTATGTCGTTTATGGCTGAGATAAAACGCGAAAATAATATTTGTAATAATATTAAGCAATACCGGCCGAAAATGTGTACAGAGAATTTCACAGCGACTTCATATAACAATATTTATAAAGCAAATTTGTTAATAATAAATCAAATTTTGATTTCAGGATGCAACATCTCATGTAACACCAGAAGATGAGGAAAGTCTGTTTGAAGGTAAAATCGCAGATTATCCGAAGATCGTGCGAAATGTAGATGCAGAGCGCAGAAGATCATCAGCCACCTATCAGGCAATCAAAGTGTTAAATTCTCAAATTCTCGACTCGTCAGAGGAGGACTATTCCAGTTTCGACGAGGACCTCGGTTCTGACGACGACGAGGAAATAGCTGTTGCTCGATTGATATTCCAAGGGCAACGTGAAGTCAGTATTGACAGCAAGAGAAAATTGCGAATCGAGATGGAACTGCAGAGGATGAAGGAAGAGAATTTGCGATCAAGCGTGCCGTATCTGGCGTCCTTAAAAGACGGCGACAAAAAAGACAAAGTTAATGATGTTGTCATTGATGTGTATCAGCCTACAACTACTCCGATACGCATTGCAACCCAGGTAATAATTACACACTTCTCACACATCGTACATTTTTTTTCGAAAATACCATAGTCGGTAAAGAAAAATATACCATTTGAAAGTTTATGAATTTACTAATATATCACAACAATATTTAACTAACAACAACAACATATATTGATTTGATTAAATACATGCAGAGTAAGAACTGATCTTTAAGATCTCTGAAAAATTTATCTTGGCATATAAACTTTTTCACATGATTTAAAGTAAGGTGACCATATTTTTTCAAATCAAAACCGGGACGTGAAAGGAGAAGAGGGGGTGAATACTGAAAAATTTAATATGATTTTAAAACAACAAATACTATTTAACCCTCCGTCGGTCGGATATTTATTCACCTTCGAACGGTCGGAGTGGTCTGGCTGGACCACCATTCATTTTACATGCATTTATATGGGGTAAATGAGTTTTTGGTGTCTTATATGTTAACGATTATTAGTAGTAAATATTTATAGTTTTGATTTTTTTCTTTTTTTTACCGTCTTTTGCATGTGTTGAGCTTGTTTATAATAAAAAAATTATATATTATATTATACAATATAAAAAAAATCAAAGAATATAAAAAAATCGTTGCTTATTTTTATTATTTTTATTTTTCTGTTTTATATCAATGAAAAACAATATTTATTCTTTTTCGGCTCCTTCGAAATGAATGTGAAATTCAAATGAAAACAAAATGAGGTGCGTCGCCTTTGAAATGAACTGTAAAACTCAAGTTGAAAATATAATTTCACTACAGGTTTGCGAAAAAAGTTTTCGTATGCAGTACGGGTAGAAAAATTGTTGATAATGTGCGCATTACTCATTCGATTTTCAATATTTGCGATGACCAATAAGTTTGGTAGGTTTTCAAGGAACTCTCGTCGTGAAAATACTAACATTCATGTTACAACACATAGCAAATAATATATAAAATGAAGTTTGAATAGCAAATACTAGAAAAAAGACAAAATACTGGTTTACATGTATCAAAAAGCGTATATTTCATACAAAATGTATGGGTGGTCTAGACAGACCACTCCGACCGTTTGGAGTATAAAAAAGTTAATATCTTTATAATTATACTTTTGTACATTTTTTTGGCCTGATTTTTTCATTGATCGACAGCTAATGAAATTTTAGGAAAAGTCAAGAAATTTCAAGTCGATAGGATTACTATAAGTATTTTTATTTATTAATTGAAGTCGAAAAAAGTCTGGCCAGACCACGCCGACCGACAAGGGTTAAGAATGCATGAATAACTATTTAAATCAGAATTACTAACTAAAAACCACATTATTTGATTAAATGTTGTATTTTATACATGTAATTTTGGATCTATATGTTTATTCAGATTTCAAACGTATTATAAAATTTTGTTCAATTTTCTTCATAATTATTTAAAAATAATTAGCACTTAGGTATTCCAGGCAGTCAAGAAGTAATTTTTATAATTTTTGTTAATTTTCGTAAAATTTCAAAAAGTTCAAAGTTATGAATGTGAGAGCATACTTTAACCCTTTAATGGAAATGCTTTTTTATCGAATCACAAAAGCCAAGAACAAATAATTAATGATGTAAAATTATTCAATATCCTTCAAATTAAAAAACTATAAAGAGTTCCAAAGAGTTTACAATTTGCAATAAAATGTGCAATATATTTTTTCGAATAGTTGTTCCCATCGTCCACATATTTATTTTTTTCTAAAAATCTTGGGCACATAGGAGTCTCAGCAAATATTTTTAATTGTTAAGTTTTAACCTTCGGGTATTATTTTTTGAACCAAATTACAAAGAATATTAGACGCAAATGAAAATGCATAAAAATAATAGCTCCTTGTTTTTAATGCTGTATACGCATTTTTTTTAATGAAAAACGATAAGTATTGGATTTTTTTTACAACTTTTTCTTTCTTCTTTACAAAAGATTTATATCGAATCGTTCTATAATTTTGTTTGAAGAAAAATACTGAATGATTACGATCCTGAATAGATTGATTTTTAACAATTCAGTTTTAACACTAATAATGCGACTTGTCTACATATATTTTCCATAAAAAATCGACCAATACTATAATTACTTTAAACCACAATTCTTCTTGTATCTTGTATTCATAAGTATGTATATGTTATTAATTATTATTAATACCCTTTGGATACAATTTTCTATCATCATAATAATAGATTGACCAATTAATTTATATAATAAATTCATTGAAAATAAAATAAATGAAAAACATTATCTATCAACAGGTTCTTGCAGCATTGGCAGTATCCCTGGGATCCTTGGTGGTAGGATTTTCATCTGGGTACACTTCACCAGCTTTAGTTACGATGACAAGTGAAAACAACACATTTGGTGTCACATCGCAACAGGTAATTAATTGATCAAATTAAATAAAATTGATTAAATAAATTAATTGATTAAATTAATAAAAATTAATATCGAATATCAAGAAGAAAATGTTTTAAATTGAAAATTTAATGCAACAACCTTGAAGATCGTTATATTTGTTATCAATATTGTACGGCATTAATTTATATTATTAAATAATATAATCTTTAATAGGTACCATAATCTACAATTGAAGAAACTATTTTGCTATTTTATATCTGTTTTATTGAGATTTATAGACATAATTTAATACTTTTTTAATGAGAGTCATATATTGCGATCAGAAGATCTATAATAAACACTTACTTTTAGAAATCTGCGTTTTAGTAAAATGTTTAATATAAAAAATAACCTATCTTAACTATTTTGGGGTCAAGCAACACGAGCATAACGTAGTTTAATGATCGAAAAATTCAAGCCCAGATTTTGCGATTTGAATATTCGTACATAATTATTAATATAAACTTAATTGAATAATAACCATTTATAGAAATTCAAATTTTCGTGCAACATAAAAGAAAGGAACTAGTTTTGTCTGGATAACATTAGGATACACTTGCTGTGACCTCAAATGGTTAATGATAAGTCGTCAAATGCTTCTATAAATATATTATTTGCTGACAGGAATTGTTATGTTATTACGCTTAAATACATCCTGTCTAATAATAAAGATACACAGTAGTTACAAATAACTTGATGTTTCGAATTTACGTCAGATGACACTTGGTTTAACTCAACATGAATACAATAAATTTATTAATTTGAATATGTCATTCACTTTGACCCAATGAGTCGAAAATATGTTTTTAATTCGATTGAATTCTTTGACAGGTGTCCTGGGTAGGTGGAATAATGCCTCTAGCAGCATTGGCCGGGGGTATAATTGGAGGACCGCTCATTGAGAAATTTGGACGAAGGATGACGATACTGGCAACTGCTCCGCCTTTCGCGTTGGCATGGCTACTGATCGCATGCGCAACCGACATATGGTACGTCTTATCAGGACGGGCTCTGTCCGGACTATGTGTCGGAATCGCCACATTGTCATTACCTGTATATTTGGGAGAAACCCTGCAATCAGAAGTCCGTGGCACATTGGGCCTTTTACCCACCGCGTTGGGTAATATCGGAATCCTTGTAGTATTTTCGACGGGAATGTATTTAGACTGGCGTGCCCTGGCGTACATTGGAGCTGCTCTTCCAATACCATTCTTTTTACTAACTCTTCTGATCCCAGAAACTCCGCATTGGCAAGTTGCGCACGGTAATGAGCAAGGAGCAAGAAAATCTTTGCAATGGCTGAGAGGTGGCAACGAATTAGAAGTTGCTGCAGAACTTAAAAATATTGTGAGCACGATTGAATCGGAAAATATATCGAAAAATATAACAATACTGGATTTATTCAAGAGAAATAACCTCAAACCTCTATTAATTTCGTTAGGTTTGATGTTGTTCCAACAATTCAGTGGAATCAACGCCGTCATCTTTTACACGGTAATGATTTTTAAAGATGCTGGAAGTTCTGTAGATGAGAACCTTTGCACGATCATAGTTGGATTTGTAAATTTCGGCGCTACATTTTTGGCCACGGTATTGATAGATCGTCTTGGACGCAAGGTGTTGCTTTACATATCAGGAATTGCAATGACCATAACACTCATTACTCTCGGAGGATTCTTCTATGTGAAACACATAGGAACAGATGTATCTACGATTGGCTGGTTGCCTTTGGCCTGCTTCGTCATTTATGTAGTAGGCTTTTCACTTGGTTTTGGACCGGTGCCGTGGCTGATGATGGGCGAAATTTTACCTAGTAAAGTCAGAGGTACAGCCGCATCCGTCGCTACGTCTTTCAATTGGCTTTGCACATTTTTAGTAACGAAAACATTCACGGACATGTTAGTCGTAATGGGAACATATGGCGCATTCTGGTTATTCGGAACCGTGTGCGTAATAGCATTATTCTTTGTATTTTTCTTCGTGCCAGAGACACAAGGAAGAAGTTTAGAGGACATAGAACTGAGCATGCGCGGTCATTCTAGGAAAGTGGGTTCATTAGCCAATATGAAACCATTGCCGAATGAGTGCTGATGTACTAATAAATCATTATATTTGTGAATAATGTGCATTTAAATAATATTAATTTTAAATTTAATAAACTTTGAATGTAAAGCGCGAGAATATTATCCAAGCACTAATAAGAATTATTGAAAATATTAATATTTTCAAATTCTAAATAAATGACTGGATTAATTTTCTCTTGCATCACCGTTTTAAAAAGCTTAAGTGTGATATTCATATATACTCATTATAGAACGTCATTCCAAACATACCTCATGAAAAAAAGACTCCATGTGTTCAAATGTAGTATTAAACTTAGAAGTATATATGTATATATGAAATTTAAAAATTACAATAGTTTAATTTTATTTATCATTATTGAATTATTTTATATTATTATAGTGAAATTGATTCTTTATAAAACAAGTATAACAATTCTTAAACTCGATTCCTGTATTCAATTTAATATTTTATTCTTATCATAAAATTACTATAGCCAATCAAATATATGTATTAAATATTATGTAAAACATCATTTATATAAAATTTATATTTTTGAATATACCTAAAATATGGCAATGAAAAAAACATTCCATTAAAGTAATGAGAATTTTACACTATTCATAGAAATGTAAAAATTCATATGTACATTGAATTATATTTTTAATATAATGGGTTGTAAAGAATAATTTATGTAATAAATTTTTTACAAAAATATTATATTGTTTTCATAAAATTATATCGGAACAAATATTAAATTTATTTAACAGCAATTGACTACTGAAAAACGACTTAAATTATAAATATGATTAAATTAATTTGGCGCAACATATAAACAAAATTTAATCGACTTCTTTCTGTTTGTGCCAAACTGTATAAATGCAATAATTTAATACAAATTTATTCCCATTTTACAAAAGACTATCAAAAAAATTGCTGATAATTTATTATGTAATATATATGAAAAAAAAAATTATACACTTTTGAAGAACCAAAATTATTTACAGTCTTTCACAAAAAGTTTATGACAGAATTTATTTTAATAATTTAAATCGTTCAACACAAAACACGAAATAAAACCATAAAATATGACAAATATTACAGAGCGTTGTTATTTATTTATAGTTAAAAAAAGATAATAAAACAAATTGTGAGCTGTAATTCCCTGACTCATGAAATTAAAAAAATGGAAACCGATCCATTTAATGTTACATTTCTCTTAATTTATCCGATAATTAGTACGAAAGTACACAACAATCTGTCTGTCTATATAATTTCACAAATGTTCAATACCGTAGTATTATTGATGACCACATAAAATGTTGATTTTTATTACCAAGTAAGTCCAATTTATGATATAGAAAACTATCTAAAACTGCAATGGAAATAATAGCCGAACGTTGTTGACCAAATCATCTCTGGATATTTATTTCGGTTATGACATACTTAAAATTGGATCTGTTCATATACCTCAACAAATTCGCATATTTTTAAATACCCCCAATGGATTTATCGAAATATGAAATATATCACAATTTGGAAGAACGTTTCGGACATTAAATGCATCATATAAAATAAATAAATAATAGAACTTGTTTCTATTTAATTAGTATGTTTGGCACATACCTGTAATTAAATTTTGGGCGGCGATGAAGTTGATTCAACAAAATCACTCAATAATTGTGGGTATGAGTTTTGTTTTCCACTTTCTCGAAAGACCTGTACTTCTTTTTAATGGGTATTCATATTGTTGGCAGAAACAATTTTAGTGCTAACGAAAAAATATAAAGTATTAAAATTAATTAAATAAAATATTTTACATTAAAACACGTACTTACCTCTTTATATAAAACACAAATTAAACATTTATATACCTCTTTGTATAAAACACAAATTAAACATTCATATACCTCTTTGTATAAAACACAAATTAAACAAACATAACCTATAATAATTCCAACAACACTTATAACCTACAATGGCTACCTATGAAATAAATCATAACAATGTTCACAAACAAAAACCTTAAAGACGATTGCCAACAGAGGAGTTATAGACAAAATGTTTCCAAAAATTTAAAGGAGCGAATTTCAAATCGCAAAAGGTCTTATCCAATGACTTTAAAATAAATTATCACATCTTTTTTTTATCAAATATCACAGCAAATATTTAATTTTTTTTTTAAAGAAAAGTTTACATTTTATAATTATTTATAAAAAACAAATTAATTTAAAATGGTAGCTTATTATTTTCTATATGCGTTATGAATAAGTACCAAAATTGGAGTTTGAAAAATTTAATGAAAATATTATTTCAGCGTCAAAATTATCAAATCTTCTAGAACAATATTTTTAATTGCTTTTTTGTTAACATTTTAATGAAAAAACAAATAAGTCAAATTCACATGGCAGAACGTATTTATTAAAATATATATATATAATAAATAGTAGTCTACTCGAAGGCAGGTCCATGGTGTGAGAGCACCACAAATTACTGATTCCATTTCTCCTCTCGTTTATCATTCCCATTAAAATTGATCACTTATTTTTATTAAATTTTATGCATTTTCCTTTTCAAACTTCTGATGAAGCATGGACTTCCTGGTCTTGTGCTTTGGCTTTCAGTTCCCTGTATTTTCTCTTCTTGCGTAAGTCATCAATCATCTGCACTTTTCTTCCTAATGCTTTTAGTCCTATTTTACGTCCTTCGACGACGTCATGCAGAAGGCACTCTTGTTGCACAATGGGTCCGATCCAGTTTTCTATTCTTTTCAGTATAGTGCTCAGTTAATGGGCAATATTCGCTAAAATTAATATGGGATACTTTTTTGTAAATATATTATAATTCAGTTAAATTTTAAAAGAATATTATTTTATTTATAAATATATGGGCACACATGAATGATTTACGTGGTAAAATTCAAATAAAATAAAAATTATAAATTTAAAATTGCAAATTAATAAATATTGATAATGAATTTTTCTATCTAACATAAGTATAAAATTTATAGTCTTTTCCGGAGCGGCTTTCTTCCTTTCAGTTTCATCGACGGTTGGATCCGGCGATTATATAAAAATCGTGGCGAAGAATTATTTTCACTTCTACTTCGTTTCAAAATTGGTCGTGGGGACACTCCTGACGATTCAAAGGTCACAGATCGAGAACGCTTGAAATTTTGGAAATCTTCCTTATTTCCAGAAACCAAGCCTAAAGAAATCATAACTGATTAACATAATGACCATGTTAGATAGAAATTTGAAAATTTTCAAATTCAAATAAAAAAAAACTGTAAAAAAGATATTTAAAAGATTTGTCTTTAGTTTTCATATTAGAAAAACATTACATGATGGTCCCTCTGGCAATGATTAAATCTCCAAAAATGGCACTTTTGGTCTGATCCTCGAACTATTTCTAATCTACTTGGAATTGTAAGCTGATTTCAAATATACATTTCGTTTTTCCGTAACTCCTGTTTTTGAGTTTTGAGGAACTACACCATTAGTCATTTCGGCTATAATTTTTGCAGTTTAACAAATAACTAATAGTTTTATTTGTTGTTTGGTACAGCTCCATCTTTAAGACGTTGTATACATAAGGGTGCTCATTAATCACGTGAGGTTTTTAGGGGGAGGGGAGATTTGACAAAAAATCATGAAATATCACGTGGGGGAGGGAGGGGTATAGTAAGATATCATCTGTATTTAATTTTTAACTGATTTAAAAAAAATTGAAACATTTAAAAAAAAAATATTTTACAGTTTTATCACGTAACTAAAAATACACGTGATATTCGGTGGGGAGGGGAGGCGTGATTTTGAATATTACCATGTATCACCAAGGGGGAGAGACGGTCAAAAAATCCTTAAAAACTCGCTCACGTGATTGATGGACGCCCCCTAATCCAGATAGTGTTTGTTACATCTGTGGTGAATATGTAATACAAATATCGACAAATACTGAAAACCTATATCAAAGTGCTTAAGGACAGTGTATTTTAATCACTTTAAAATTTAATTGCGTGCTTAAGAAGAAACCTGAGTTTTAAACATACTATGTGTCAAAATTGCGTATTGTATTTACGGTAATATAATAAAAAGCTATAATTTAAATACCCCTGTCTTTAGAAAAAAACCACATAATCACCAAAACCATTCTTCTGTGAGGTACATACAATAGAATAGATTTAGGCAATAGAAGCAAATAGCCATATCTCATGACCCCAAAGGTTTTACGATCTTCTTACGATCAGCTACACGTCCATTATCCATGCTAATTATGAATAATCTAGAACATCGGCATCTTCTGTTTACCATGTAATGGATTAAAAGACCAAAGTTTAAAAGGAAGACAGTAGGAAAACTGATATATTTTATGCTCCCCAAGTTAGTGAACTCACAAAAAGTCGACGTTTTGTTAATTCTATGAATAAAGTCGAGAAGAAAACCAGGGAGTCATTTGTTGAGGTCTTAACAAAATTGATGGGAAACGGTAAAAGTGGGTAAACTAGTCAAAAGACTAAAAGTCGGTAACTTTGTTGAGTTTGTCGAATGCATTTTATCCAATTTAAAAAATTTAGGATGCAACATGAGCAGAAAAATTCGGTACCCGTACTCCCATTTAGAACGGTTTTTAGAAAATCTTGGTGATGTTAGCGAAGACCAGGGCAAGAAAATCTACCAAGATATCGGGACTATAGAAGATCGATATTAAAGAAGGTGGGACATCCACATGATGGCTGACATTTGTTAGAGTTTTCGAAAAGATCAGTCAGGCCTTGCCCACGTTACAAAATGATATAAAAACGTTTGAAAGCATAAAATAAAATTTGTGTTATATTATTGTAATTTGAGGTAAAACTAGCACATTAGTATATCTAAGAAAACTAGAGCTGTTAGCCAAGTTTTGTTACTTTTTTCGGAATCAGTGTCCTCGAATTATTTAAAAAGCATCATAATATCTCAGGTTAAAAATTTACTGTCACGCAATGTTATCAAATATTGTGTCGAGTTTTATTTTGATACCCTATACTTTCAAGCATTTAATTTGAATTACTAGTAATCAGATTGTACACAACGTTATTACACTATTTAAAAAAATTTCAAGGCGCAAATATGCGTCGATCAGCATATCTTCATTAAAGTTGTGACATTAAAGTAGTAGCTACTATTGTGATTTAATTATATGTTTTTTAAAATGCAAATGCAAAATAATAATGTAATATACTTATTTGTTCATACTCACTTTGTAAATTAATAAATGCATTCTTAACAACGCCCTTAACCGAGTTCCAGATTCCACCAGATGTATTTTCTTCTGTATTTTCACAGGAAAATATATTATCTTGCAAATCTATAATTAACATCAATAATATAATTTATAAAAAATGAATTACAACAAAATATAACTGTATTGCAATTTACCAAGTGGTGAATCTTCTGGTTGGTCTTCGTCCACAGCCGGAGGCGGTAAGTTTATAGTTGGCGTGAACCATTCTGGGACAAACAAATTATTTATGATTAATTGTAATTGAAAAGAAATTCTTTAAGTTTCAAACAAGTTTGAAACTAAAATATCGAAAATGCAATATGTAATCACTTTTACCAATTATTTGTCATGTTCAACTAATTAACTATTACCAACAAAAAAAATTTGTACTATCAATATTACCCCTAATATATACCCCTAATCATTGTAGTTTTCACTTTTCTACATAATTTATATGTAATACAGCTTTTTTGATTTTGCTTTTTATGTTATTTTGATTAAAAAAATTTTGATGATTTTATAAATTTTAATTACCTTAACTATTTAAATATTTAAATATTTATTGCAATTGATCAATTATTCAAAGGTCATATTATTTAATTTAAAGGTTGGATTTTTATTTTTTTAAATGTACACTTTCATTTGGTATGATAAAATAAATAAAGAAACTCAAGTTTCTATAAAAACATAGAAAAAGTCAAAATTGCAGTAGTTTTGGTCCAAAAAAATTGTACACCAAATATTATTCATAAAGAATTTTTTCAGTGAAGCTAATTAAAAAAACTGAAAATAAATAAAAGCTAAAAAATAAATAGTGCTAAAATGCAAAAACTTTTCACTTATTTGTAAAATTCTATGCAAACAAAGTTGCAGGTAGTGTCAATGTTCTGAAATATATTTACAAAACAATAAAAAAATAAAAAACAAAAGTGTACAGGATATAATAAAGATCAAATATTTGTGTATGTCGTATTGTGAAAAACTAAATATCAGATATTGTAGTTTATTTCATTTTTCTACGTTACTTGCAGCATTAATTTGATAAATCGTTTTTAGAAAATTATATTAAAATCATTTTTATTATATAGCGCATATTAAGTCAAATGACCCGACAATCTACATTCAAATATAATGTTCATCATATTAATTTTGTTTCGATAGACATTTCAAAAAACAAATATTTATATCAGCATACTGAAAAGGAAAAAAAACTGGATTGAACCCATTCTGCAAAAAGAGTGCCTTCTATATGACGTCGTCGAAGGCAAAATATATGGATGAAAGGATTGAGGAAGAGGAAATACATAGAACTGAAAGCCAAAGTACCAGCATGGAAGCAGAAGCAGACCAGGAAGCCTGAAGTAGAAATTTGGAATAGAAAATTCATAAAAAAGTATAAAAAGTGTTTAATGGTAATAAGAAGGTAATAGTCCAGTCATTTGGTCGTCTTGCCGGTACAGTACTCCGGGAATTCTGAAAATTGGTAATCTTATAGATTTCGAGGTGCTCTTTACGGAAATCAACTTTGCCACCTCAAATTTGAACGGCAAGTTGCCGCCATATTGAAAAAATGGGGTCAAAAAACAGCTTTTTTAAAATATCTACTTTCTGGCTCAATCTACGATAAAAGTATCTATGTACGAATTAAACTAGAGAAAATTTCCTACAATTCCTTAGAAAACCGTTTTTTTGTAAAATTGATAGTTTGAGAGTACGGCCGCCTCAAAGTCTTTGCTGCTCTCGCCGTAGTATCAAATCTGTCCATATATGACAGCACTTCGTACTTGACCACATTCTCTCTAATAATTAATATTTTCAATATTAAATTGAGCGAATAAGATCTAGAAATAAAATAATTCAAATATTTTTCTGTTTTTTTGCTGATTTTTTAACGCTTCAAGCTACTTGAAGCTATAAGGTGCTACTTAAGCTATAAATATATTTACAGCTACTTTGCCATTGAAGTGTTAAAAAATTAGCAAAAAAAAACGAAAAATATTTGAATTAGATCGCTTAAGATCTTATTCGCTTAATTTAACATTGAAAATATTAATTATTAGAGAGAATGTGGTCAAGTTCGAAGTGCTGTCATATATGGACAGATTTGATACTACGGCGAGAGCAGCAAAGACTTTGAGGCGGCCGTACTCTCAAACTATCAATTTTACAAAAAAACGGTTTTCTAAGGAATTGTATGAAATTTTCTCTAGTTTAATTCGTACATAGATACTTTTATCGTAGATTGAGCCAGAAAGGAGATATTTTAAAAAAGCTGTTTTTTGACGCCATTTTTTCAATATGGCGGCAACTTGCCGTTCAAATTTGAGGTGGCAAAGTTGATTTTCGTAAAGAGCACCTCGAAATCTATAAGATTACCAATTTTCAGAATTCCCGGAGTACTGTACCGGCAACAGCCTTTTTTGCACCAAATGACTGGACTATAATGGGAATGATAAACAAGGGAGAGAAAGTAAATCATTGTTTTGTGGTGCTCTCATATCATGATCCTGCCTTCAGACAGACGACTATTTATTATTATTATTTTTAATGGCTTTTAAGTCAAATTAGTCCATAGAACTTATAGAACTCGTAAGTAGTGATTGCTGTTCTGAACAACAAAAAAAAAGACATCAATACTGAAAGGATCTTACAAACCTTACGAATGTCAATCAAATTATACTAGTCCTCCGCAAAATTTACTGAATAGTGCAAGAAAAATGTTATATTTCTATACCAAAAGAGATAATTATCAAAAATCTTATACCAGTAATAATGAGAAATTAATTGATCATCACATAAATACCTGTTTTGTCGTGACTTTTCAAATTCACACTAGCGTCTAAAAGTTCAGGAGATTCCTTGAAATCGGCAAATTTTTTGGTCAAAGCGGTGCGAACAAGATTTCCACCGACCAGCCCAATTCCATGCGGAGTGAAGTCATTGGTCTCCGCAGCAGAGGAGGACGCCGTGCTTGGTACTATTCAATATTAAAAAAACTTGTAGAAATGTATTGAAATCCTTAATTTATCATTTAATCACATAATAACATTACGAATCAATGCATTTATCGAAAACTGATATAAATTGAATCAAAGAAATTCGCTCTTCCCACTCGCGAAATGCAGAATTAAACGTGGCTCCTCTTCAGCAAAACTAAATAAACTATATTATTTTGAATGCGTTTTTGAAAAAAATAATGCTATATACCAATTTCTTTTTTTATAACATCTCTAAACTGATTGACCCGTGTTTTTGTTGGATAACAGCTATAATATAAAGTTTTTTTTTACACCTAAATTTCACGAATAGGGCCTATTCAATGTGGGATTGCGCCAAGACTTCATTAACGGTACCACCAAGTTTAAAAATTTCTAGATACAGTAGAACTCCAATTATCCGAATTAATGGGGACCGGGACCGATTCGGATAATCAAATATTCGGATAATCAAATATTCGGAGTTTTTTTTTTAAATTGCCAATGGAGAGAAAAAAAGTTACGTTTTGATATTGCACTATTTTTTTATTGAATTAAATGAAAGAAACGTGATATTTTCACATGTTTTAAATATAAATAAAATGTACTTATGTACAAGTTTAGAAATAAAAATCATTGTTTTTTAAACATCTCCGTCAAATCAAAACAAACAATGTGCCTACACTGGCTTCGCTGGTGGAAAAATAATAGCGCACTTAGACTTTTTTTAAACAATTTTTTTTCTGAAAGTGATTCGGATAATCGGCGATTCGGATAGTCAGAGTTCGGATGATTGGAGTTCGAATAATTGGAGTTCTACTGTAGTTGAATTTATGTATGAAAGCAATGCAATTTATGCAACTACGTAATGTAAGTGTAAGTGTTTAGCTGTGATATAAAACATTTATGGCCCATAAAATAGCATTTAGCTTAGAACCAGTCGCGTTTTGTTTTTTGTCCGCCCAGACCACGTTGGAAAAATTATACTATTTTCAATAAAATATATAAACTACTTGCGTTTTATGGTGATTGTTAGTTTCATACATTTTGTATTTATTACTAAATTAGATTTGTGGTACACATACGTACCAGTAAAAATTTTTCATTGTTTTTATAGGAAGGCTGGTCCAAATGTGTACCAACAAAAAGTACGGACGGTACGACGGTTAACCCAGCCTCACCAACCTCCCCTCTATCAATTAATTTTTTTTTTTAATTTTTATTCCAACATATATGACAAATTCAAAATATTACATAAACCGATTTTTTGAATGCCGTCCTAAAAGAGTTGAGCTTGATTTTTTTTTAACAAAAATTATCTGTGTTATATAATATACATACCTGAACGTGATGTTGAAAGTCAAAGCAACATAGTTAAATATTTAAAATAAAATTGACATATATTTTACTATTTTTAAATGTACCTTTTTCTGCAGTCGCAGGAGTATGCTTGTTGCAATTAGTACAATAGTTCACATTTAATTCAGGCGTTTCTTTATGCACGATCTTCTCCTAGAGACCAATCATAATATTGAAATCAATAAAAATTAAAAAATCAATAATTTATGTAAAATATTAATCATATAGGTTCATATTTTAGTCATACTTACAATATTGTCGTTTTCATCTTCCTTATGAAGATGTTTCGAGTCATTTGTTCCGGGGGTGTTATTACCAAACTAAGAAAAAAATAGGAAAAAAATATTTTTAATCACATATACTAACAACAATAAACACAAAATAATATTTATTTATATTTTTTTTTTCTTTATATTATATTTTCAAAATTAATCATTTTACTTAAGAGAAGCTATCGATTTGACCGATCCCAAAAAAAAACACAAATATAACAATTTTATTATACATAATTGTATCTGATAGTAATTTCTCACTGGGGTAATTAATCTGTTAATAATGTATATCAAAATAATTTATAGAATTTATTTATGTTGCGATTATTATTATTAAAAAAGAAAAAAAGAAAAAAAAATATAATAGTAATATGAATTATCGATGAGCCAGATAAAAAAAATCAAAGTGCAGAACAATTTAAACAACTCGGGAAAATAAATTTTTATTCATTCATTTTTTTATTGCTTTAGAATATTTTCATCTATCATATTGTGTTATAAATTTGAGAGAATTTTAGTTTTCTAGTTTTGAAAATGGTCAAATTTAAATGCGATTACTGAAGTACTATTGAATGTTTTAACTCACCTGATTCTGGTCAAAATTCACTTTGTTTGTTGTTGATACAGATACCAAAGATACTGAAGGTTTTATAGTATTTGACGGAGGCTTCGGACCTAATCTATTAGTTTCGAAGCTTTTTAAAATTTCTAGGAACCGAGGATTGGTTTCAAATTTACGCCTTGGCGTGCACTTTTTATTTATTCGTCCTAAAAATATAAAATTATGCTAAAAAAATATAACGCACTAAAAGTAAAAATCAAACATCAAATCAAAGTAGAAATCAAACATAAGAAGTAAGTACTTACTAATACAAATGCTATTATTTTTAATAGGAGTTGGAGCAAATTTGACATGTGATGTATGTTTTTTACGGTTTTGTGATTTTTTCCCTTTTACCAGAATACCAGGCTTCTTTTCAACTTCATTTTGGATATGAATATTACTTGTAGCACCTTCCAAATATATTATATTTATTTATTTATTATATACATATATTATTGTTTTTACATGATTGTCATATATTCTTACAAGACCAGTCTCTGAGACTATCAGTCTTATAAGAAATAGGTAAGAAATATGCTGTAATTTTAAACTATTTGAAACAGTTTTACCTTGTGTAAGTTCCATGTCGCTACTCGGACTTGCGATATCGGAGACCTAAAAATATCAATAATATAGTAAGATAAAACAAATGAAAATTATTGAATAAACTATACATTAGACGTAATAAAATAATGATTAGATACTTTCAATAAATATTTTAAAAAACTAGTGGCGCATGGCATCCTGCCTTAAGGCAAATTGTTAGAACTCCCGTACCGTAATGACATATTCGAAAAATTTTAAATGTTTTTAGCCTGAATTAAAATTATAATCCGAATAATTTTAGATGTTAGAAAAAATAAAAATTAAAAAAAAAATATTTTGAAATATTTTTTTGCTTACTCTAAAAACTAATTATTATTTGCCCTGTCAACACAAATAAATTTAAAAAAAATTAATTAGATGATCCATTTTCTTAATATTTTCAATAACAGTTTTGGTACTAATTTTTTCAATTACAGGCTTTGTTTATATTTTAAAATTCGATAGTGTCATGGGTTGTAACGACAATAGGATGTACAAAAACGTTAGTTTTACAAACTTTTCGGATAACAAAAGCCGACGCTGTTTAGTTTTGTCGCATTTCAAAGAGAATGTTACTATTATTCGATTTACTTAGAAGTACTAATAATATAAGTTGATTTTATTATTTAAATTGTAGATAATATAGTGTTAGTAATACATACGCAGGTATATTTGCTTACAATTTTACTTTTAATTATCATCATTATCAATTAATTTTAATTCAAGCAATGATCTTGGTATGTTTTATTTCGAGTAATGAATATGTTTTGAATTGACGAAAATCATTTTTTAATTTTTGTGTGTTAATAATCGGTTATTTATAATGCATCTATTAAAATTTGACAAACTATATCACACTTTGATCTCGGGTATCTTCAAAATATCTGCATATGTTTCATTATTTTCTTAAATCAATTGTTCGCTCATAGGTGTCACCGAGGTAATATTTTGACCTCTCACCGATCTATAGATACATAGATAATTTGATAACTTGGATTCAAAAACCAGGCTCAAGGATCAAATAAGTCTTATCGATATCTCAAATTATCGATGAATCTACCAATTGTCTAAGTCTAAGTAACGTCACTGTAATTTCGTCTATAAAAATACTTTACTAGTGAATCAAGCGCAATGCATTTGCCGTTTTACGGTTTGATTATTTTTTGCTAGATATATTATAAATCAAACAAAACTAGTTATAAAAAATTCGTATTGAATTATTGCCTCGTCTGAGTTTTTAAGTATAATATTTACCTGAGGCGATTCTATCGGGCTCTGTATCGTGTTGAAACCTCCTGCCATGGGCGTACTGGTTGTAATGCACATTGACTGACCACAAGTTGAAGCACTGGCTTCCAAGGCATCACTGGCCAAATCAATTTCAGTTCGCCTTTCATTTTCACAATTAGTGTCTTTATTTTCAGAAAGTTTTTTCTCATTGATACATTGATCTTTAACTTGTAAGTTAGAGGAGACAGCGGGTTTGGCTATGTAATCCAAAGCTTTGTGTTTGTTTAGATCGTGGCCAATGCAACGGTCCGACACGCGAGTTAAATCATCTCGGCATAGAAACACCTTCAAAGATAATTCGAAAAATATTGTTTCAGATACAAATTTTCTATGACTGTTGTAATGGTTATTTAACACGTTCACGCCGGGGCCGATTTTGGTTTGTTTTGCTGTGAGAAGCGCGTGGTTATAGCCTTCGAAATGCAGGACCTGCATTGTGGCAGGTGGCAACTGGTGGCCCACGCCGGCGTGAACGTGTAAATTCATTTTATTTCTACAATACACTTCGATATTAGTTTATATAACACTATTGTTTTTTTTAATAATTTTAATTTTGAATAAAAACAAAAAATAGTAAAGGATAACCACTGGGTTTTTTTAAAACTGAAAAACAATGTTTTGCTTCAATATGTCCAATTATTGTCATTTTTATTAATTATTATTTTATTTACTAAAAATATAGTTAAAGTAAAAATATAAGTGTATTCAAAGTGGCACGCATGTAAAATAAATAAAATAAGTTCAAGTATGTAGAAATTAAATACAAACCTTTACATGCAAAAACTTAAATTTTTCTCAAAATAGCAAAATTTCAAACAAATTCAATGTACAATTTTGACTTCATTTTAAATCGACCTAAACGCAATGGAAAATTAATTATTTCATTTAGATTCTACAAATATCTTGTTTATGCTTTGAAGAATTCACTTGATTGAACCTTAGTTTTCCTTCTGTTTTCAAATATTGATCTGTGAAAACACTGCTGAATAATAACTTCTAAATAATTTTTTTTTACATATTTATATGAAGTGCTATTTCAATTTTAATTGTATTTTTGTCTTCGATTAGAATGCATATTTTGAGAATATAAACAAAAAATCTAAATTATTTTTATAGATTAAAAGTAAATATAAAATAATTATCTGTTAGTAATAATTCAATAATTCAAAAAGTTATTAAAAAATTTAGTTTTAGTAGTTAGTTTTACATTAAAAACATTGTACAAATATCTGGGATGTAATTAAATTCATCTATAATTAAATTATCTACAATTAAGATTAATTTATTTTATTATTTAAATTATTATTGAATTAAATTAATTTAAATATTATTAAATTATTATTGATTTAAATATTATCAGAATTATTAATTGAAAAGGTAATCCGCGAAAACAATTATTAATGCCAACTAGTATCAACAAACATTAACAACATATTTTAACACTTCAAAACGCATAATTTGTAATTAAAATAACTATTATATCCAAGCAGTTTATTAATAGAAACGTAAAAATACGTGTTTATTAACGTGAATATCATAAATATAAATGATTGTAAATACCTGCAAACATTTTCGGCAATATACCGGTAAATGCACCTTTGTAATATGATCGATTAATCGGTCTGTTCCTTTTTCTGGAATTAAAATCATTGTTTTTTCAGAGCAAATATCGCACAAATCCATTTCTTCAAGTATTGACTTCTTTTTGGGATGATAATTTTGTTCGTGGCGAATACGGCACTTTTCACAACAAAATACTGAACGACAAATTCTACAACGTCTCTGAAATATTTGGACAGTTTTAACTCAACTGAACACATGCACTCACATTGTTTTAGAAAGCTTGTCATTTAATTTAAAAAAAATACATTCACTAATAATATTCGTTTAATTCTTTAAAATTGTGTGCAAATGCAGTTGAAGCACATTACCAATTATGCATATCACCTCCACTAAAACGGAACCGATACTGAAAAATTTGAGAAATAAACACACGCTATGCATTCAATTTGCTTATGTAACAAAGAAACAATCATTTTGTGGTGCTTGCAGTCCATAAATCAAAAACGGTAAATTTTATATATGAAAAATAATTATTTTTGGCTTACACTTGTACTACAAAATGTCATTATTTAGCTTAATTAGTATACACTATAACAAAATTAATAACGGCATAAGATGAATAATATTTCAACACAATTATACACAAGATTTATTGTAAAATAAACCAATAATCAATTGACCAAATAATTAACCAATTGGTTTTAAAACCACTCAGAGCAAACTAGTCTACAGTAGTATATTCCTCACCTGAACTAGAGGTTGAATGTAATTGATATTATTAAGTACAAATCGCGACATTTGTTTAAGTAGTAAAGATAAGTGTTTTTAAAATTAGGTATTAAAAATATCATTAACCAAACCACTTCATTGCACAAAGTCAAATTTTGTTGTTATAAACAATATACCATAATACGCTGAACCAATGTATCTGTATGACAAAACCTGAATACTGTGAAAATAATACATTAATAATTTATAAAGTACCATCTAGTGATTTATTGGAATAATATCAGCATAACAAAAATGCTGGAAAACTATTGCCATCTATTTCTTTTAAAAATCGAGTGCTTATCAAATATTTTAAGTAAATGGAAAATTGCATTCGATGTTTGATTGATAAGTATAATATAAACATATTTTTATAATTTTTTACCATAATAGTAACTTTTATTCATTTCTTGAATTTCTTGAATTTTAAGAATTTAATTTAAGTTATAATAAGTATTCAGATAATGATAATTTCGAGTATAATTGAAAACTGACGACAAGCAAAATATGAAAATAATTTCTATTCCCGGAGCGGATGGGCTAAATGAGCCCCATAATTTGTTATGAAGAATAGTAATGATGTAAAATATAACGACAGGAGAATTCCATTTCATGAATATATTATAAGTAGTATTAATACTTTTTATAAGATTTGAGATTAAGATTCAAGTTGTATCGTATTTATTTTTTGCGCCTGATGTGCAAATGCTTGATACTCAATTGAAAGACCAATAGTTTTAGTTTAATCGTCAAATTATATCGGAGTAAGTTTTATAAGTGAATTTTGAGAATTTATATATATATTTCCGCAGAACCTAAAAATTACTAAATAACTCGTGGTGTGTGGCATCGTGCCTTAAGGCAAATTGCTGGAACTTCCCGTACCGTAACGAAATGTTCGAAGAATATTAAATGTTTTCAAATAGATTATTATAAATATTGTAACATTGTCTAATATTTATAAAAATTATATAAACTGAATTGCAAAGTTAAAATTATTTGTTTAAAGTATATTAGAACTTTAGTCAGTTAGTTTGAAGTATATTAGAACTAGTAGTCAGAAAATCCGATCCTGAATTATTTTCGATATACACAAAAAAAAATTTTTTGAAAAAAATAAACAATTTTTTTTTTTCCAAAAGCAATTATTTTGTTAAACAAGCAGCAAGTTCTTTGAACCATTCGAATCGGACGCTTAGTTCTCTCAAAAACTGCCATTTTTGCACATTTAGCTCTGTATCTTCGAAATGTTGTTTAGATCATTCAAATCGGATATTTCGTTCTCTCAAGAACTCGATTTGTATTTTCTGCACTCTTTCCTTCGTATCTCCGTAACAGCTGGACCTGCTTTTGCCAAAAACTAATCAGCACATCTCCCTATCAATAGAAATCGAATGTTGTTCGAAACATTCAAATCGGTTGATACGTGCGCCCGAAAACATGGACGAAAAAATGCGGACATACAAAACACACATCCATTTTTTCTGAGGTATGGCAAAGTGTTCAGAAACCTTTAAAACGTGAAGATATGCAAAAATTTTAATTTTCGATTTTCGGCCCATTACTATAACTACCCTACGGGAAGCTAAAGATATGCAGAAATATTTCTCGAACACTTACTTATGGCTATGTCGATAAAATCGAATGTTTTAAGCCGCCCGAAGTAAACAGTTTCTTCTCGGATTAAGTTGCCAGAAAAGTTGTACCGAAAAGATATGCAAACAAATTGCACGCTAACTTTCTTTATAAAGTATGCCAAATTCTTTATAAAGTATGCAAAAAGGTCAGAAAGTCTAAAAACATACAAAAAATATATTTTAATTTTTAATCCGTCGTTTTCAGTCTGAACTCTTCAAGACTATATCTATAGGTAAGGAGTTTTGCCTAGTCTACATAAAATAAATTTCAATGCTTCGCCCGTTCAGTTATTTATATCAATCAATTACATGCAAAAATAAACAACATAAAAATCAGCATTCATTTCTATTTTTTTCCAAAATGTACAATTTTTTACTTTTGTATAAAAATGATTTGATCATCTATCATAATGTTTTATCAGTAAGTTTCATCTTCATGTGCAACATAAATAGTTCTTGATCTTTCAAAACAAATTGACATAAGAAAGTTTGCTATTAATCTACCTTATATCTAAAGAACCATAACACTTTTCTGGAAAATTCTAATAAATAGTATACTCAACAATAGAAAACAACTAAAGGTTCTTCGTCATTGAAATATGACTAACACGGGTTATTCGAATCGTTTCACGAATTCGAACATTATAGTCCTACAGGGTTAATATTTCGCACAACATTACCATACCTTATATGTATTCGAGTAATAACTATATAATTCACAATTTTTACAAGATATTAACAGTAGTTTTATGTGTGTCACTGGAAATTAATACTATGTTAAACTCTATATATGATGAATCTCATATGCTTTTATTTGCAAGCTTGATTAAAAATTTAAACTGCAACTGCAATTTATGCTATTTCGTTCTCATCAAAAGAGCAAGTTATATTGTCATTCATACTGCAAACAATATTTGAACATGGCGTTTGAACACAGTCTTTTACTCCGACTACTTCTAAAACGGTGTCATCTTTTTCTATCCAAAGATCTATTAATTTACGATTTATTTTAAACTTCTTAATGCAACCGTCGAAACCGTTGTCTGTGCCAATGTTCTCGTATATCCTGAAAAAATTATATACAGAATTATTATTAATGAATTATAATTATAATAAAATATATGTTCTAAAGCCTTCTTCAGAATTACATGATTGGTTTAATAAATGATTCATTATATTATCTATTCTATTTATTCCTCTTGACGATATAACTCCAGAACGCACGAACCGATCTCGACAATTTTGCATTCGTTGAAAAGGTCTCGGACTCCGTGAAAGTTTATAGCAAAGAAAATTGAAGAAAGATTTCAACAGAAAAGCGGAAAACATTCTTTCTTTTTTCACATACAGCGTCATCTCTGATACTTAGCATGTACTACAAACCAATATTTTGAGTAGATGGTGCCGGTGCCAGATACATTGTTTGATAGCTACTCATTTTCTTTCCAAATATAAAACAAACAAAATTTCTTCATCTTTCTCACGAAACAATCTGGTGGCGAAACGGAGTTCGCTGGGTTTGCTAGATATGAATAAGCGTTATAATTTTTTCAAAAATTTAATAACTAGTATAAATAATAGTGAAAAATATGTAGGACACAAGTGATAAAAGATTGAACTGCGCCACAAATAATAATAATAATCTCATTTGTGGTAAAATATTGATAACTTTTTTTTAAATAGACAAACGATACTATAATCACTTCCGCGGTATACATTTAATATTTGAATATAGGCAATTGATAAACTGTGATGAAATTGTGACACTATGATCTTATGCACAGGTTATTACCATTAGTAAACACTAGTATCAAATTAGAATTAGTGTCATAGTGAACCCGAACGTTAGTTTAAATCAATACTAAACATTAAGATATAGGAAGTTGATAAACTCTGATGAATTTGTCACGGGTTAAGGTCGACTCTAAAGGTTAGGTAAATGTTTGCAGGCAATTAGTTAACAGACTGTGATGAATTTACTTTTTGTGCAAATTGATAATTGATCTTCAAATATTATACTAGAAAATATAAAGTATTGTCAAGTAATCAAAAAGCAAATTAGGTCAACACACTTTTGACACACTTTTCTCATAATTACTATTGTATTTAGATTATCATAATGACCGTGAATTAAAAACCATTGAGTTGTTTGTTTGATCACTGTTTACCAAACTATAAAGAATATTTCAATTACTTATTTAAGTCGATAAAATTGATTATGTTTATTATATTTATATATTTAAGTCGATAAAAATTGGAATAGGTAAATTCCATAAATTTAACGTTTTACCGATATCGCGTAATCATTTTCTGATTTTGAGGCGTTTCATAGACAAACTTCCTTTTTAATATCAATTTCTGAAAATCGAAATTTGGAAAATCAGTCTTGGAACTCGCGTCAAATATTAATACAAATTCTTTATACACATACGCTGATTTTTTTCTGATTCAAACATAATTTATAACTTTTCAATAAGAATGTTGAATAAACCAAATACTATTGAAAGTTGAGTAAAATCAATTTGATTTTTCTTAGAAGTCTCCAAATATAGTCACACAAGTGTATCGGTGGTTGCCATGCTTTTTATCGAGAATAAAGGAATGACTATCTTTTCTATATTCAAAATATTTATTATAATTCATTTATACCTGGTAAAGTTTGTGCGTACGTGGCCGATGTACCCGTCTCGTTTCAAATCGAGTGCCTTGAATTTTCCCCTCGAATGTCCTGCAGTTGAGTAGCCACTGTCAACTTTTAGTTCTCCGTCCTGGTTGTATCTTCTTGCTGTGATCGTATGGAAACATCGTAGCTCCAGACGCTCTGGTGAGGTGATTATAACGATACCATTGCCTAAAATGAACATAGGTAATGTTTTCACATACATATTTTGTAAGATGCAAGTCATATTCTAGCACGCATTGAAAGTTTCGTACAAAACAAATCTCGGAAATTACATTTTTCATGAATATACCAGTGAGACGATATCCAAGGCTTTGAATTTTATTCCTCCGAGTTATTGAGAATTAATTTTTTTTGTAATTTTTAGTTTTTTGTGTAACAAATACTTGATCGGCATGCTAGCCCGTACAGCAGTGTCACTCCTTCGGAAAACACTGCCGCCTTAGCAAACGGGTTAAGACAATCTAATCTTATTCAAAAGAATCTTAAAGAAACATTAGCAGTGCTCTGAGGGCGTTTCTTTTTCTAAATTGACAATATCAGGTGCATACAAAAAGTTATTTACTGAGTTGAAAAGATAATTTTGTTAAAGAATATGACTTTTAAAAGAGCATATGTACATATGCTTGCAATAAAAATTATACTATCCGCTTGAATTTGTAGAATTGTCTTACCTAAATTATATCTAAACTCAAGATAACCATTTATTATTGCTAAGCTTATGAAGTCTCCTTTCCCATCAATATGTTGGCCATTGTAAAACATAATGCCATTATTTGTGTTAGTTTTGAATTCGATCTCAACATCAAATTTGTAGTATGCTTTCATGGGTTTGATCCGAATATGTGAAGAACCATCAAAGGATGGAATATTGTAATTCCAATTCATATCTGTTAAAATTATTAAAACATAGATAAATAATTCAGAAAAAAATAATATCATTTGGATAAACAATAATTATTTATCAGTAAACGTTTCTATTATCTATTAATATTTACCATCAACAATTTCATCGTCGACGTTATTGTACTCGTTAGCTAAAGCTGGCTCCTCCGGGTGTGCATGAGCCATATTGTTATGCGTCAATGTAAATGGTTCCCTGGGATCAGGATACAACAGGTGACGAGTTGACTTTGATAAAGCTGAATTCAAATCATCACTTGGGGTATAGTGAAATGATGTATATGGACGCAGTGGCCAATCTGTTCCAGTTGCTGGGAGTTCTAAAATAAAATCGATATTGGATAAACCATACTACTTTGACGGCCAAAACTTTTATTCAACTTTTCGAACACTCCAATCATATTACGTACATTTCAAAAATATAAATAATAAAATAAAAAAAAATAAAAATGCTAAAATTTTAATTATTAGCAATAAATACTCACGTAGTACACAGCCATTTGGACCTAAAACTTTTTCATGATCTATGCAAACAGTACACTTTTGCCCCTGGATTTCAGGTTTACAAACACATCGGCCGGTCATCTGCTCACAATCTTCTCGCACTGATCCGTATGGTGAGCAATTGCAAGCTAAAATATTGCATATTATTAAAGTATAGATCGAATAGTATGAATAAAATATATTTGCAATCGATAAAATAATTTTTGTTATTTTATTATATTTTAAAAAAATATAAAACACAGCAAAATATACTTCTCGTTCTTCACATAAAAATGTAAGAAGACTTGAAAAATTTGCTTCTGGAACGACAAAAATAACAAAAGTTGAGTTTAAAACAAAAAAATATTAACTACTAAGAAAAATTTATATCGGTTATTATTAACATATAAATCTTTGTTCGGACGTATTTTCTTTTTATTATATTGGCTATGAAGGTGACAATCTTCATGACATTGAGCATTTACCCGGAATGGTTGCTACCCCTGGTAGAGGGGGTAGCAGAGTGTTTTGATGGAACTAATTGTTCACTTCTAAAAGAAAAGTCCGCGCAACAACATCTTTAATAAATAATAAATATATCTTCTTTCATTATATCTTAGAGATAAATCAGTGATTGTAATAAGAACTGCAACAAATACATACAAATATAAAACAAATCAGTGTTTAATACAGTTCACAGCTACAACGGTTAAATTATAACCCAACAACCTGAGTTTATCGAAGGAGAGTTTTAATAATTTTCATAACTACGTAACATAAATACAATCTTATTTCTAACACCCTACAAGTATATTACGTGCACGTGTCAAACATATCTTCATCGATCTAATTTATAATTTAGCAGTATTTATTTCTGCTTAGAAAGCCAATAATTTTGATAGAACACTTACGTATACATCCCTGATGACCACTGGTGATTTTTGGTAGACCCCAATACCCAGGTTCGCATCGATCGCATTGTAAGCCCCCAACGCCTGGTTTACAATGACATTGCTGACTGATCGGATCACAACCTGTTTCGATTGATCCGAGTTTATTGCAATTGCAGACAGATGGGCAACCAGTTCCTTCAGCATCCGTCGCAAACGTCGCACCATCTGGACAGCATCCGAACCAGGAGGCTGAACAGTGCTTAACAGGAAGTGAAGAGTCATCTAGAAATCAATTTATAAAGAACAACTTTAGGATTCATTTAATAATAAAGTAAAACTGTTTGAATTCAAATGTTATTTCATGATAAGTAAATATTTTTTTTATCGACTTAAATAAGTAGTTGAAAAATTCATTAGAGTCTAGTAGACAATGATCAATGGTTAATAACTAAAATAAGATAATTTTATTTGTGACAATTTTAAGAATTAGTTGGACATCCTGCAACTTGTATATGACATATTTTTGTCTTCATCAGTTGCCACTGGTTAATGATACTATAGAAAACTAGAACATACAGTTTTATAATATATACCATTAGAATGAAAGAAGTGTGTCAAGCATATAAAATAATAAGAAGTAAACATTTGTCACCTTTTCGGCAGCACTTTGCAAATGCTGCAGTTTGATGACAATAACTTCCAGATGGACAATCTTGCCTGAAAGGCCGATTGCCGCAGTTCAGTTCCACTCCAGTTAAAGGATTGACGATTGGTAAATCACCTTTGCACGGTTTTACTTCAGCACCTAAACATAAATGGGCAGATGAGAGAAATGCCACATGTGAGAATAATGAATTTTTACATATCTGAACTGTAACACTAAATATAATATTAATTTATAATACTGTCAATCCTTTGCTTGAGACGCAATAACAATAAATGTGCCACAAATTTCATAGAATATACTTTTAAGGCAAGTTTTATACCACTTTTTGCCAACTTGATTTTTACCTTGACAGAGCTCCATAGGACGAAGTCTGAGATCCTGCTGCAAATTACAGGCTTCTTTAGCCATCTCACAAACAGATTTGTATAAACGCATATCGGAAGCACAAATTTTTTCTGCAGAAAAATCTTCATTCTCGCAATCAAAGCGACAAACGCAACGTGGAAAACCATCTTCACCAAGCTCGCATGTTGCAGAAAAATCGCATCGAATATCCCTATAATAAGAGTAACAAGAATGTATTTCAATGAACTAAATGCCGTTAATTTATATGAAAAATATTACCTAAAAATTAACAAAAAAAAACATTGATAATAAAATGTTATTTGATTTTTATTATTTTTATAATGAAACAAGTATATTCCTAAATTACTCACTTGCAAGCATCATCTGGCTGCTGTAAATGGGTGTTTTCTTTTGGGCCAAACTTTAACCAATCTTGTTTGAGTCTGTGATGTTCGTGGCGTTGCTGTTCAAGCATTTGCTGCTCCAATTCTTGTTCTCCAATTTGTTTATGTTCATTAAGATCGGGATTTTGCTCAAGCTGTTCTGTCATCTGTGCTGGGAGTGGACTACTTGCTGTGAGCGAAGGTGTTGAAGTACTCGGCTGCTCCTCTGAAAAAAAAATTCGTTGATTATTGAATGTCTTTGATGATATGTATTTTGAATACTATGTACAATCGGTTTAAAATATAAATATATAATGGTTGATTTTTAATTATGATATGTATAATGAAAAGAATCTATCTCTTATTAGTATAGGAAGTCAAAGCATACGGGCGTGAAAATTATATTTTTGCAATCTGTATGACTATACATGCAACAAAAATAATGTTGTTTGAAACTAAGGAAAACAAAAATATTAACTATTTAAATCAATTAAAACTCAATTTCTTTCAGAATACAATAACGTATATTACTATTATTAGGAGAAAGTCCCGTAACGCCGTACGGCACCTAGCGCCGGACACTCTATTTAACACGTATTATTAAGCGAGTATAAATCTTTCTATTTCAAAATACAAAAAGGCGCGGGGGGCACATAGGTACAGGATCACGCGCCAATCCTCGCCTGTGATGCACACGGCCACGGCGGGTGCAACCGTTTGCTGTTTTAGGCGCAAAATCACGGCGTTGCCTAAATATCAATGAAAGTAATTGTAATATATTTATGCATTTATATTTGAGTGGCATTCAAAGATAAAAGTAGTACTTGATTGTTATCCGTAAAATGGTAGAATATTATTAGTTATTTTAAACAATTTTAGTAGGTACCACCAAATAAAGGCACATGTCTGTTCCTTAGCACCGGACACTAAGTCGTTCCTTAGCGCCGGACAGTAAACACATTGATATTTCTTGTGAGACTCGACGTAATTTATTCTAATTATTTAATTTTCTTCTGTATGAGTGCTAACGGTCACTATATACGTATTTCTCAGTCAAAGAATGAAAATCTTATAATGAATGCTACAGCTGAGAGCATCGGTGTGGCCCAGCCAAAATGGTGGATGCATTATGTTTTTTTTGCAATATCTAAGAATATTCGTCAAACACACATGAGCTGACATTCCAGAGTGTAGAGGTAGCTACATATGTGTTCAATGCAGATTATTTTGAAATGTCCGGTACTAGGTGCCACTTTTTAAAATCATATTTTTTGTTACCAAAGTTTGATTGAGAGTATTAATTCTTTTTTAGCAAAACTCGTGTTTTTGTTAATTTAGTTTGATTTCTAACTGTTATATAAGTAACATAAGTCATAATTTAATAAACATTTCGTAAAATAGTTTTTTATTTATTTATAAATAACCTTAGGTGTCCGGCATTCGGAGACTTCCCCCTATATATAGAAGCGATATTAACATATTTTACCTTGTGACTGATGTACATTATTCACCAAAGATGTATATCTGTATTTACATATTTACTGAATATTCAGCTTGTGTGTATATATAAAACACTTACCGCATCTACCATCATGTTTCCCGGTTATCAATGTTCCAGTAGAGCAAGATTTCCGCAGCATCTCGCAATGATTGTCGTACGTGAGACCATCAGAGCCGCATAGTGGCCGAGAAGTCTCATGGTCGCCAAAATTGGAGCAACGTTCCGGACAGTGGCAGCTCGCTGATAAACCATCTGACGTGACCAGGCACGTGAAGCCATAACCACACTGTAGGTTTACACACGGGTTTGGTTTTTCTGAAAAATAAAATTGTTTTCGAAAGTTCAGTGAACAGAAATTATAAGAAATATAAACACCTACAAAAGTTTTGCTTTTAAAATACAAGCGCTGAAAAATAAAATATAATAAGCTACATTTTCATATTGACTTGATGTATTTGTAGCTGTGCGTAAGTGTACATTCTTTCGCATCCAATAGCGAAAATTATACTGTTTCTATCAGAATATTATTGTTATAATTTGTTATTGTTGTTACTGTTATATAACATTATTATTGTTATTCAAAAATTTATGTGTGAACAGATGAGAACCAAGTACATATAATTAGCAAAGATGTACTCATACCCTGAAGTATGCTTGATTAAAAGGTTAAGCAGAATTTATAGGTATTTTTTCATTCCTCATCCACGTGCTCGTATTTAATCTATTAAATTATATTATTCAAACGTATTTAATTATATTGAATTCAAATTATAGAAATATAGAATACCTTTCTATTGACCAGCAGTACAAGCATTAATTTTTCTATATTATTTAAATGTTGTTTCTATTCTATGTAAAAGGACTGGAGGAATCTTTTGTTATTAAAAAAGTTGTTGTTGCATTTAAGACGTTTTAAGATTATTTTAAAGATTTGAACTTTTTCAGTGTGTTTTTCAATTCAAGCGTGTTTTCATCTACATAATTCAAATTCAAGTGATGTACTATCAATTATTCTTGCTAATTAACTAATAATAATTAATTAATTTCATTTTGAACTAGTAAAAATAATTTATATGTCAATACACATTTTCACTAAAAGTTGTTTCAATAACCATACATGATTTCCATTGAATGAAATATTTTATGCAAAAAATTATAGAGTTGTTTCGTCAAAAACTAATTGTACATTCACCTAACATCTTTTTTTATTTTAAAAATTGATAATTTTAGCAAGTAATAAATGTCATATTACTAACTAGCCAGTGCATTGATTCCGCTCCACTCACCTTTCGAAAAAGCATAGCATCCATCAACTGAGTTTTTTGCGAGTTTGCAGAAAAACTGAAATAAAATAATCCATAGGATTTTCATTTTTCAGCCTGTTTCTGCAAATGCACTTATTTGTTCCAAGACAGGACATAATCGTCTATGCCACACGACAGCGCAGAGTGCATAGCTTTTCAAGAAAACATACAATTATCACTGGGAATTTATAAATTTTTGATATATAAAGTCGCCCCACTCAAGTTAATTTATTTAATTAAAAATTATTAACAGAATATTTGTTATTGAATCTTTACAGAACTGTCGATATACTTCGGTTGTGTACTGAGTTCATATTACACTACACTACCCCTGCGCTGTTTCACGCGTTGAATGAAATGTTTACCGAGTGGTCAAATGCGCATGTTCCTCATCGATTTGCAGGAAACCGTACGTTTTGCCAGTTTGCAACCGAGTTGCAACATTACTTGCCAATATCCGAGATTTTTGACAGATGGCACAATGATATAAACTTCATATTGACTAAGTGTAAGTGGCATGTTGCCTTGAACCAAGCAGCATAAAATTTTCGGCACCTATATTAATCAAGAACAATTGGGATTTAGCTATTCACATAACATTTTCAAATTTTATATATGAAAAATAATTCCCAATTTTCCAAAAAATTTCATAAAATACGCATGTTACGCATCATCAACTTTTTTTTATTTCTACGATATCTTTTGATATCTTTGTACATTAATCTTCATTAACTTTTACCTAATCTTAATATCTATTATATCCTTTTTTATACTACATTGTATATTGATATAGACTTTTTTATCAGCAGCTATGCCCACAAAAATCGATTTTCACTTGATATTATCATGCTGCCTGATATCGAGCTTGGTCGACGTTGGAATCGAACCCTGAACTAATTTTTGCTGTAAAGGGCCAATCAGTAATGTCAAACGTGGCTAAAAGAAAACCATGACATATTCGCGCGGCGAAACAACTAGTTATGTTTTTGGCCTCTAAATTGGGACGTCTGTGGTCCTTTTAGGTTCCATAGTCGCCACACAAAACTTTATAGCTACTACATGATATTAGCCGTTTTATTGCATCGTAAGTTTTACTAAAATTATTCCTTAAATTTTCCATGTTCCATATCCAAAGTGATTGGACAGTTATGGTCAGATATCTAAACTCTAAATAAATGTTCGTATTGCCTATTTCATAATAAACGGAAAAATGAAATGATGGCCAGAAAAAATGTTATTCAAATAATTGAAAAAATATAAAAATGATCAAAAGAGAACTGTTGTCATAACATTTAAAATACTTCTTGTCGAACATATCGCTCCGTTAAATCTCGTAGGTTCAATTATCTCCAAACAGTCCCCACTCTAGATAGACTTGGTGAATGATATGAATTGTGTTGTCAATGATGTACCCAGGATTTTGATTATTTTCTCGAAGTAGTAATAAAGTAGGCTCATTGTTAGCATACTCTGTCTCTTTCTTATAATATATATATATATATATATATATATATATATATATATATGCATGTGTATATGTTATGTGTGTGTATGTTGTGTACATGCATACACAATTGTGATATGATTTGTTCTTGTTTCAGTGAAGTAAATTGAATTTGCTCCAATGCATAAAGACAACTTGTCATCAAAACGCGATGAATCGCGTTTTGTTGCAACGTCTACAAATCCTACCGTGAATATTGAAAAATTTAATATATATTTTATATACATTATATTTTGTTCTCTATTTTTGAGTGCTTTGGCTACATCTTTATATTTGTTTATACACGTGAACAATCATACGTATATTAATAAGTCATATGTGCGCAATGAAATAGAAAAAATCATCCGCGATAGTTTACAAAAGGAATCAATACGCAGTGATATCACAGTAATAGTTAAAGCTTATTTAGCAACCATACAAGAGGAAGATAATTTAAATATACCAAATATTCCAACTGCTGCATCACCGAAACATATCAACGTCACATTTTCGAAGCAGGACGATGTGACAACTGATAGTTCTGATGAGGTTTTTCGCATAAAAAGAAGTGCGGTACTGGAAGACATCACAGGTACGCAAGGATCAGTTGGTGATGGAAAGCATGTGGAGTTTTTCAACCCGAACCTCAGACAAGAGTTAGAAATAAAGGATGAAATCGAAAAACGTAGAACGGGTCTGAAAGGAGCTGCGCCGAATGGAGATGATTGGGTTTGGCTAACAAGTTATTCTAGAATACCGGTAAGTGATAAAATTGTAATAATATAAAAATCTAAATATACACAATTTTATATATATATATATATATAGTTATAGATATATGTTGCGTGTTTATGTATACTCGTATATCCACAAAACTCTTCACTTTATAAATACGTTTAAATAAAGATGAATTCTAGAATGATTTCCTGTGGTGAAACTGTGGCAATAGTCAATGCAACAAGCAATGTCCAAATTACTTACATTTAAATATAAATTATCTTTAGAAATTTTGGATTTTTTTTGTTTTCTCCAAAAACTAATCATTTCTTCACGCTATCAACACAAGAGAAATGTCTTTTCAATTAGTCGGAGAAGCTGTTTTCTCAAAAACTGTAGTTTTTGCCACTTTTTGCCTTGTATCTTCCACAAGGATGAACTTGTTTTTATCTACATTTAATAAAAACGTCTCGCCGTCAATACGAATCGAATGTATTTTGAATCAATCTGAACGGAAACCCCGTTCTCGCAAAAACCGAGTTTCCATTTTCTGTTCTTGCTCAGTATCTTTGAGATGGCTGGATCTGCCTTTGCCAAAGAATAATCAGCACGTCTTCCTATCAATAAGAATCGAATATTTTTGAATCATTCATTCATTCTTCTTTTAGACGATTACTATAACTTTCCCTACGAGAAGTAATTAAAATTAAAATTATGCATAAAGGAACGCCTTATGACTTTAGCATAAAACAATAATTATGATTATTTATCAGACTAATCCATATTAATTGTATCGAATGAATAAACCATTAATTATTTATCGCATTAAACAAAGTTTACGCAGCTTATGATAATTAAGCTCTTGAAATGAAACGCATTACTTTAAAACTTGAACAAACAATTCTATGAACAAAATACCATCGAAGCATATAGTATATTTGAATATATAATTTTGTTTATATTATCGCAAGTACAATGCAATAGAAGGTTTCTGCAAGGCGACGAGAGAATATTGTCCACCTGGCAGACCAGGGTCTAAAGGAGCTCAAGGCGAACGCGGTTTTCCCGGTGCAAGTGGTCTTCCGGGACAAAAAGGTCAGTATAAATAATATAAATTCTAAAATAATTAAATCCAATACAAATATATATTGCTTGTATTTCTGCAATCATATTATTCGTTAAACTCTGCAAAACATGTTAGCTAAATTCAAACCGTAAACCGTTTCGATACAAACGCGTACATATATATATATTGAAAAATTATCACTCGTTTGTGATTGCAAAAAAGTATGATAAACTACAAAAAATGTAGTTAATCTAAATAATACTGGTTTATATATTTATATTTTATATATCAAATTAAGGTGAAATTGGATGGCCGGGAAATCCTGGATTAGATGGTCGTGACGGAATTCCCGGCGAACCTGGATTAGATGGCTTGCCCGGACGCTCCGGAGCAGACGGAATTCCCGGTTTGGACGGTGCTCCAGGGCGAGATGGCATGAACGGGAAGGATGGTGCAAACGGAATTGATGGTTTGATAATTTAATAGAATTTTAACCCATCTTTTTATTTTTAACTATTTTTAGCATTTTTATTCATGTTTTACTATTGAACATCACATTTTTTTTAATAAATTGCAGGTCGCCCTGGACAAACAGGCCCACAAGGACCACCTGGACCTCAAGGTCCAAGAGGTAGCTAGTTGTTTCTATTCAGTTAGTTAACGGAAATTTTAAGTATAATAAATCTTATTAAAAATTTCAAAATAGGTATTGCTGGACCTAGAGGTCGTCCTGGCAGGCCTGGCGCTGATGGAACACCCGGCATACCAGGAGTGCAAGCATGGAAGAAAGCAAAAGGAAACTCTGATGAGCTATTGATTCCTCCATCGATATTAAGTACGTTTATATACTAGAATATAAAACGAATAATGAGACAGAATTATTATCTTTGTATATGTTTCAAAATAGTAATTTAAAACAATATATTGTAGGCAGTTCACATGCTATGCCAATTGTGGTTCACGAAAGCGAGAATTTGCGTTTGCGCTGCGCTGCTACTGGTGCACCGCCGCCAGATATTGAATGGAGAAGAACCGATGGAAAAGTTATATCTGTGGGTTCCTGGCAAGGTTCGAATTGACTACAATATTAGATCATTTAATCGCTTAAAGTTACGCGTAAATATAATAAAAAACTTAGAAATAAAATGTAAAAAACGTTCGTACCAGCCTCATGTGCTGAATACTATACATAAATTCAACCTCTAATATATGTATTTATTTATAATAATTATGAGTTTTGTATGAGTAATGTATTTTAATCATTTAATCTCAACAGCATCGTCAATCTTCGGAAATACACTGAACATCACTCATATCAACCGAGAGCACATGGGAAGCTACCAATGTATTGCGAATAATGGAATTCCGCCCATAGCCAATCAAACATTCAAATTAGAAGTTTATTGTGAGTAATAACAAGAATGTGTTATTATTTATACATTTACTGTATAAATATTTCTTATATTCGTAAGTTAGTAATTAAAATACTAAACGCCTGGACTGAGGAGAGATACTTTTTATGCGAGAACTAGTTAATTTGTGAATAGTTTATATTCACAATTAAAATAGAGAGAAGAAACATATTATAAACTTGTGTGTGTTGTATGTATTATATTTGTGCAATATATTAGTTTATCTATTAAATTAGTTTATCGTTTCAGTTCCGCCGTTAATCAAAATTCGCAATCAGAGAATTGGTATTATCAATGGAAGCACCACTGTTTTAGAATGTGAGGTATGGCATTATATATTATATATGTATATTTGTATATATAAACATGTAGTTACTTTGGGTGATTATTATATTTGAATACGATTAATATATGCTTTATATGAACTTTACTGTACATTTGATCCGAAGTCAAAACACTATAAAAACTTTTAAACACTTACTAGGACTGTTACTATGATAGCCATGAGAGATTCAATATTGCCAAATGATTATCAAAAAATATGACAATTTAGTTGATTAATGAGTAAAAAGAGCTGTTTGCACTAGGTAGAAGCTTTTCCGGAAGCGCTCCGATATTGGGAACGTGAAGATGGCAAGCTCTTAGAACACGGAGACAAATATCAGATCGAGACCGAAAATCATGATTATCGAAGCATCATGAGGTTGAACATAACAAGAGCAACTTCCAAGGATTGCGCCTTGTACCAATGTGTTGCCAAAAATGAAATGGGGATCACGAGAGGAATAATAACAGTTTTTGGTATACTCGTTTGTAAAACCTACTCTCGATTGAGCGTGATTGCAATTACCTTATACGATTAATTGTAAAACTGTAATTGTATTTTAGTAAATTGTTTTGAGCGTTGTCACAAAATCTCATGAACGAAATACGAAACTCATTCCGTCATAGCAATTTAACGGTATATTTTCCTTAGGAATGCACATTGCAGTCATTCTCATTTTTTTATCTAGAAAAAAAAATCTGTAAGTTTTTCATGGTAAGTCAAATATGTAGTTTTGATATATAATTGTTTATTTTATTCAAAAATTGATAATAATATTCAGAGATCCATGATCTTTCACACCCGATTATTTATAGTACATCCAAAAACAAAATTGAAAATTCTTTTGAAATGGGACAATATGTTTGCATGCAGCATTTTATAATAAAATCATGTACTTACAATATTATTATTCCAACTTAGAGATGAATCCTAGTCTATCAATTCCTCCATCTACGAAGTCAGATACGAGAGCTTCTCAAATAGCAATTTACGGTAAACGACCCCCTGAGAAAGTATCGTTGGATGACTTATGCCCAGCACCAAATGTATGTCCAGAATGCCCTCATCCAAAAGACTTTAAGTGTAAAGACGCTGCAGTATCATTGTTTGATCTTGTGGGTCATCTTGATATTCGTCCTTTGGGGAATGCTTCGTATCCGGGATTACCGAACCGAAGCTTGGGTAAAGTCGCTAATATGAAGATGATTGTAAATAAACAGTAGATTTTTAATAATGCTATTTAATCGTTAATAAGATATTTGAAGGTGCAGGAATATATACCATATATATTTCTAGATTGTCTGCTATATGCAGTTGGTAAACCTGTATATCATCGCTTTACTGATGAGACTACAGGCACGTGGATGCAAGACTCGGCGCCTCGCAGTGATATTGTGGCAGAAAAATACTGGACAACGCGCGAAGAAGAAAATACGCATCTTTACGAGTATAACAACAAAACGGGTTTTAGACAAAATCGACCAAGTAGAACTTATCAGTTACAATTTCCCTTTATGGTAAAACTAAAAGTCATACAATCGCCATTGTAATTTGCAAATGCAAATGCATTTTATGCTTTTCCAAAACTTCTATTCATATAATTGAAGACTTTAAACTATCCCGCATGTGTTTTTAGCGGATTTGTTTAAATAATCAACCTTTATAGATAAGTTGACAAGTATTTACAGATTCTTCAACTTATTCCTATAATAAACTACATATGTTTTTGATTTCTATCAGATATTGCAAAACGTTTTTCTTACACAATTTTTTTAATATTGGATTACCAATTATATTATTAAAATAATACAATTGATATACTTAATTTTTTAACAAGTATCAATAAGGAAATAACTAAAATTATTTGTATTAATCTAGGGTAATTCGCACGTGGTGTATAACGGCTCATTCTACTATCACGAGCGCGATAGTCCGCGAGTTATGAAATTCGACCTGATATCGGAGAGATACACTGGCAATTTTGTTGTGCCCATGATTTCAATAAGCAAAGAAAACTTTTTATACACTACAGGAATAAATTATATTGATTTTAGCGTAGATGATAATGGATTGTGGCTTATATTTGGAGTGCCTAAAACCAATAACACTGCTGTAATTAAGGTTAATAAAGTTAATCATTATATATATATATATATATATATATATATATTTGCTTTTATATTTTAGTTGGATCATGAAACAATGCAGGCTCAATACATGTGGAACATCAGTGTAAATCACCATAAGGTAAGCATAACATATGTATATGTACTATTTTACAAAAATATTTTTGGGATGTATCAATATTATTATATACAGACGATTGCCAATTGTGTAATCAGGCGCAATAACTGACCAGTGAACAAAAAAATAATGAAACAATATTATTAAATTGGTTAAATTGTTGCTCATTAAACTGCTATAGAATATTATGTTACAGATATATATATATATATATATATATATATATATATATATATATATATATATATATATATAAAATAAATATATTCATATATATATATATATATATATATATATATATATTAGCCTGCAATAAATTTTTTTATTTAATTATGTTTTGTAGGTCGGTGAGATGTTTATAGTCTGTGGTGTTTTGTACGCAGTTGACACTGTCACTGAGCGAGACACAACTATTAGGCTAGCTCTTGATTTGTACAGAAATGTACTTCATTATCCGGAACTCACATTTACAAATCCTTTCCGTAAAACAACTATGATTGGATATAACCATCGAAACAAGGTATAGTATATTTTAAAAATGAGATTTCATATGTTATACTTATTGTATTATTTTATACCTTAAAACAAAAATAAATCCCTTATGTGTTGAAAACATAATATGCTAAATAATAGTAAAACTTATTAGAATGAAATATATTGTTCTAAATTTTTGCTATCATTCTTGCATACCCAAAGTTTATTGAGCTAATATATTTTATTTTAATTCACATTATTTATCTAATTATAATTATTTCCTTCAAGGAACTGTATACATGGGATAAAGGTAACCAGCTTACTTATCCAGTAAGATATCATGAGATTGGCTACAACGCAACTGAGAATAATAAAGATGAAATGTCAGATTCTAAGCATTCAAACATGCAAACAGGATTTGATATATATAACTAACATTTTGTAATGATATTTCAAACGCTAAACATATTTCAATTTTAATTTAATTGTTAAAATTAATACAAATATTTTATGTTTTTTTACTGATTAAAGCCTCAGCTATTGAGTTTTATTTTTGAAAAAATTTACAAAAGTTTGTTCAATATTCATTACAAATATTCCTATAGAATATTCTAAAAATATTTAGGAAGATTATGTCAACGTACATTACATCATAAAAAGATTATAAATCAAATGTAATATGTGATCATATAACGCAGAATATAAGTTTTTTTTTTTGTATTTTGTGCTACATGTTAGCTTCCTTCTTAAACTCAAAATTATAGAAAAAAGTTTTGGTTCATGTATGATATTTGTCTTCAAGTACTTTTAATTATATATTAAAACAAAATAAATATCTGACCAACTATCTTGCAACTCAAATTAGCACTTCCATGAGGATTTGCAATTCAATTGCACAATGAATTATTATTATGAAATAAAACAATGAATTTGAATAATACTTATCTTCATCTTTATTGTCGGCTCTATTGATTTTCAAAATAGAATCGTTACTTAAATAAAATATTTAATTTTCTTTTGCATTTAAATTATGTTTTTACAAGATTATATTTGTGTTTTAGGGAAAAAAATCTCACCAAAGTAATTTTTAATATATTTCTGATATATTCAACATTGCTAATTCCACTTTGAGTTCAATACATTTTTTCTTTTCCTTGAAAAGCTCTCTAATCAGATTAATTCTTCTTTGTTCTAAAATCTCATTTTCCTCCATCATTGCAGAAATAAGATTTTCTATATTGACATAATTTGGTAAAACTATATCAAAATCTGTATCCTTAAGATCTGCAATCTGTATTCAAAATATAGTTTTAATGATGAAAATATAACAATAAAAAAAATTACATTCAATATTATAATATAACACTTAAGCACCTGAGATCTTAATTTGACAACATCCGCTCGTTCATTGTTAATATTTGTTTGTAAATCTGAAACAAACTTTAGAAGCGCATTATGTTCAACTTTCATTTGCACATATTGAAGTTCATCAGGTGTAAGTTCTGTTTTCTCTGGAATAAAACCTGATTGAACATCGGGTTGAATATTTTCTGATTGTGAATCTGTTCCACTTTCTTTATGTTGATTAATTGAGTGCTGAGTTGATTCATTCTTATCTGATTCTGAGTCTTTAGTGCTACCAATAGATAATTTATCATCAAGAGCAATTGCTTCATTAGAATTTGTAAATTGAAAATCATTATTGGGTTCTACTGTCTGAGTTTGGACTACTTCAGAAACAGATGTATTAACTTTCTCAGGTTTCTTATCCACATTTTGTTCTTCATCTATAGTTTTATCGTTATTATCTGATCTCTTCTCGGCTAGCCTCAGTTTTCTCTTAAAATAACACACTACATTTTTACCAAATATTAATTATTAATTTTGGGAATTAAATGATCGACATCGATATCCTAAATGAGCATACCATTACACAAATAAATAAATAAATATATATAAATATGGCAGTTTTGTGATTGATATAAGTTTCATTTTGAAAGAACCTATCGTTCTTTTTCTGTGCTGGTACACATCTCTATGATAATATGATATCTGGTAGCTCTTGAAGCATTTTGAAGACAAGATTATGAAGAAATAAAATTGCATATAAACTCAAATACACAAAAGACAACAGAATAAAATAATGTGACATCTACCTTTAATTGAGTTATAAGCCTTTGAACTTCCCATAATTGTTCTTCTCTTTTTGTGGAAACAAATCCTGCATTCATTTCTGAATGAATTTGAGCTAACAAAGACTCCTGTTTCTGCAACTCTAATACAATTTCACTAGAAGAATCAGGAAGGACAAGTGTGGCAGATGATAATGGCGGAACATACCTGGTAATATACATATTCGCTGATTAATATTCTAGCCAATTTATTTAATAAATAAGACATTACCTATTAAGTTCCAATCCCGGAAAAAGCGTTTTGCAATGATATAACAATACTTTTAGTAACTGAGGGCTCATGCTCAGGATAGGACCCATAAGAACAGACAAACTTTGTGCGCTGAATTTATTGAATCGTTCATGTTTAATAATATTATCGAAATGAATTATAATCCAACTCAATAATGTCTTGTTATGTGGTGGCAATTGCTCCAACAAAGAAAGTAAAACATCACTACGTTGTGAAGTATTTTGCATAGAACTTGCTTCTTCAAAATTCGATGTCAGTTCCGAGGTAAGTATTGAATCTGGTAGTTCTCTATAATAAAATTATAGTTTTAGCTATATATAATTTGAAACTGCTTCAACATTGAAGTAATTAACAGAAAACATGGGGGTTATATGAAAAGCCTTATTATATAGTTTTTTGCTGCTTATGTAATTTTTACTTTTAATCAACTTTATAATTATATGAACTGTGCTATATATTCAAAAAGTATAATTCATAGTAAATACTTATTGGGAAAGCCTTTTTGCCTAAATTTAGATTTATTCAATTTATGAACTCAAACAAAAAAAACACCATACAAAAATGATATTATTGACAATGTTCTTATGAAAATATAGACGATCAAATGATGAGTATAAAATATTCATGTTTATAATTTAAATTTGCATATATCATTTTCATATTATCATTTGTTTTTCTTATTTCAATTAATTACATTTGAATGTTTGATTATTCACTATATAAATAAGAAATAAACAAAATGAATTTACTTTAAATATGACTTCAACAAAGAGCAAGCTGTTGGAATGTCTAAGTCATCCATCATAACATTTTCATGATTGTTATATAGCTTTTTTAAGCATTGCAGTTTTGTTTTAGAGCATTCGACTTTATACAACAGATCTGATGTTAATCCTAATTCTTGGATGTAATCAATACAGTTGCGAACCACAACTGGAAGTGCAATGCTGTCATGACATTTACTATGTTTAACTGATAATTCAAGTGGAACTCCAAATATTGGTTGAACATCTAAAAAAGTCACTATTAAAATATCTGTAGATATTTGATAAAGGTTGCATATTATGCTGCACCTGCCAAATCCATCGAATCATCATTATGTGCACTATGTTTCAGCTTTTTATCTTTTTTCTCTTTGTCTTTCTTATCTTTTCTATCTTTGTCTTTTTTGTCTTTATCTTTCTTTTTGTCTTTATCATCCTTGCCGTCTTTTTCTTTTTCTTTATCTTTCTCTGAACATTTATCATGAGATTTTTCTCGTTTCTCTTTGTTTTTTGTAGAAAACTTAAAAGCTTTAGATTTTTTTAGTTTTGGACCACTTCTGAAATCAGAGATAGTTTATATTGCTGAAATTTTTTAGATTAGATGAATAGAATACTTATTATCATCTTCTTCTAAAGAACTCTCTCCTTCTAAAGCGGCATAGCCCCTATCCTTCTTGTGATCTTTTTTTCGACCAATCAACAAATCCTTTTTGCTTAGCTTGTCATGGTCACCATCGCTAACTGCATATTGTGCAATCATCAAATAAAAGATAATAACAAATAGAAATAAATAAAAACATAACTTACAATCACTCTCATTACTCTTCTTTCCACATTCTGAAGCATATAAACCAGGAAAATCCTTGGCAACATCAGGGCTATCATAATCCATTATTCTTATTTAATATGTTATATATTTTTTATTAGAATTTCCAAATTTCATAAGTAATTGTTGCAAATCATTTCGGTAATATATAAAAAGGATATCAAAATTTTTATATAGCATAATAATTATAAAAAAAAATGTTAATGCAGAATAAAAAAGTTATCATATGTTCGTTAAACAAATTTAAAGCAAATCAAATAGCAAAATAATTCTAAAAAGTACAAAATATATAGTCAGTGTGTCACAATGTCAACAGACACAGGAATCAAGACTCTGACAGTTAATTAACAATTAGTGTTTAAATATTATATATAAATTCAGAAGAAAAATGATGTAGTAGAACAATTTTTAATAAAGCCGCGGTTAAATAAAATATAATCTTGACAATCTACTGGTTGTTCATAATAAATTTGACAGTCGCACCGCCCGCAAATTCTTAAGTCGTGAAGTCGTTTCGTGTTTGAGAAAATCAGTACAGCATCGGCAACATAAAAATATGCTATGAGTGCGCGTCACGCAAAATAGACCAAATCACCAGACTTCGCAAAATGCTCGTTTGCTCGTTTTTCATGTTTTATATCACTTTTAAAGTAACGTAAAAACATTTATATTTTAGATACTTGCTTTAGTAGTCATGTGATATAAATAAAAAATTAACTACAAGTTTATTGATTAATAATTATCTAATTCATATTCTATAAGCACTAGAAATAAAATATGTGTGCCGGCACACATGTCTGCCAATAATAACTTATCTTTATTATCATTTTTCGATATGTATCTATCGATTCTGTTTAAATCTGCAAAAGTTTTTGCGGTATTGAATGAAGTACATAAAATAATTTATAATAATCACCACTATTTATTATCAAATATATCATATAAATACATATGATCAATTACTACAAAAAGAAAGTGCTTCCACATAGTTATGTACGTATATCATATAAACTAGTTTTATATAAATAATACTAAATAAATAAATAAATAAATAAATAAATATAAATATTTTCTATAAATCTAAATATAAATTATAGCGTTTAAATATCTAATGTTTTCTACATTTAATTGACAACATACCAACCAATTAGGTAATTAATTATTTACTAATAAAGAAATATCCATACATTTAAACGAACCATATATCACCCATTTACATACCCCAACAAGTAATAATAAATTCTTTACCTATACATTATAGTTAGAAAATGAATTACACTCTTTGGTTGAAAACTTATTAAAAAATTAATGAAAAAGTCTATTGAAAAGGCAATATAATAATAATTTTGTTTGTTTCTACAATTTAAATTGTTAATATATCACGATATTTAGTAGTTCAATATTCAGTAGTTCAAAAAAATGATATTCAATCGTTTCATGAAGTTATGAAAAAGATATTTAATAATTTATTAATATATTCGTCAATAATAAATAAAATTCATGTAAAGATATGTCATTCTTATTATTATTATTTTTAAGCAAAATACCATAGTTTACTTCAACAAAAAATTTGTCGATATTTAAAGTAAAGAATATATCCACCGTGTATGAGACCGTCAAATAAAAAATATATAAATAGATATTTAGTAATATAATAATATAAATAAACTAATTATATAATTTAGAAGTATCTAAATCAAATTTATTATCAAGCTCGTAGTTATTATATTATATTATGATGTTGAAAATGTAAAAATGAAGGATTTTGATAATGAGCTAAATGAGAGTAAATTAAAAGGTCTTACTTTTTTCATCGACATAACATATTGTATTTAATTTCAAGTTTTGTGAAATTTTCAAAATGAAACTAGCCAAATTTTTGCTTCATACTTTCACGAAGTATACTAATATATATGATTAGTTAACATTAATAAGTTCAGTTCCATATGTTCAAACGGGCGTTTAATTAAATCTATTCAAAATATTTATCTTCAAACATTGAAGAAACAAGTATGGTAAACGACATTGTAATCCAAACGGTTGATAGTCAATTTTACACGAACCTCACGTCAATTTTTTCCTCTACGCGGGGCTTATTGTAATATCTTACAATGACATAATTTTATCAACACGATGTCGATAAATTTATTCGAGATAATAATATATTAAAGAAAAACTATTAGAATTGCATATCTTTGTTTCTTATCAAAGACAAGAAGCACATAAGTCATGCCCCACTTAATGCTTCCTGCTCCTCGCGAGCGTCCTGGTACGCCGGAGCGTGGGCGCTGTAGGACAGAAGGTGCGAGTTTGAATCGTAGCTTCGTTGCCAGCCACCATGACCGTGGTCGGCGGACGCGTAGACCACGTGCTCGCCACCACCTCCACCAGAACCGACCAATTTCTTGAGACCGATCTGTTAAAAAAAATCAAAATGTGAATTATTGAACAACTAGTTAATGTCAAATGTAACATAAGACTGATTGCTCTCGCACATTGAACTTGCGCGTATAAAGGTGCGCCACACCTAACGAACGATCACGAACGAACATAAATAAACATGGCGAGCAATGTTCCGCAACTTGTCGGTACATCAAAGGGAATTGTTCGTTCATGTTTGAACTCGTATGTGCATGCAGTGTGGACGCTATCACGAATGTAGACAAACATTTTTCTTTTTTTATGTTAAAATGTGCATTAATGCATTAATTTATGTTGTGTTTATTATAAGATATTGCTGTTATTGACAAATTTTGTAAATTTGATGACTTTAAATAATTTTGCTCTTTCCCGCCACTTTAAATAATAAATCTGACGTTTCACGGTACATCCTCGAACAAAAAGATTCAAGCCCTCACTGCTTTGAGGCGTTTATTTGGAATTATTCGCGTTCGTTCGTGTTCCTGTTCGTTCTTTGTATTTTCTTGCTCGACATGTTCGTTCGTGTTCGTTCGTTAGGTGTGGACGCACCTTAACAAACATTTAAACTGAATGTGAGCGTAGTACATTAGCAGTTATCGTGTAATTTTTAGGTTTTCATTTTTCACTCGAAATTTTTTCATAATAAAATTATCTATTGTTATACCATTTTACAATCCTGAAAAATGTGCCAACTTTTGATGAAACTTGCCAACAAACTTTTGTACATTTTGTTGAAGGGGTAATTCTCAAAGTCGACCGATATTAAAAACTATTAATTCATAATTCAACAATAAATCTTAATTCTTGAAAACTTAGGGCAATTGTAGTTTTTTTTGTGGCCTAGAAATGTTATTCACGGTTACTATTCGAATGTTTAAATGAACAAAATTAACAAAATTAATAAATGTTAACCACAATAATCAAAAAATGATCACAATTTCACCAAAGCTCTAGGTTGCACTTATAGGATAAATCAACATCAAATTCAAGATTTTACACACTCATATATACAAGAAATATATATAATAACATAGCAACATATATATAATTACAAGCTACAAGAAGAAAAACACTTTTTATAATTTAAATTATAAGAAGTGTTTTACTTCTTGTAGCATCCAGCAACTCTTTTATTTTGAATGGAAATGAAACAAATTCATTTCTTCTTATATATTTTTCAAAAGTCTCAAAGGTTTATAGTTAATATTTTTTATAAATTTTGTAAATTTGTTTCATCTTGAACTTGATGTAAACGTCAATAAAAAATGTCAATAAAATTTTTGAACAGTTTGTCATCGGTAAAACCCTGTTTTTTTTTTAAAAGAAAACACTTTTCCATCACTTATTTATATAATAATATATAATTACATGATTTGGCTGTATATGAAACATAATAAAGTCAGTCTAAAATACATTATCTGACATAACTGAAATATTTGTAAATGAAGTTCCATTTGGAATAACATATAATACTTACTTTTAACAATGTTTTTAAAAATTAAATGAATTACTTGTGGATACAAAAATCTATACTATAAAATTCATTTTCAGCCCAATAATTTGCAAAGATTAAAAAGTAAAAAAAAATCATATACATACATGAAAAAATAACAATAAAGGAATTGTAAATTGTTATTGAACTTATATATAGAAATGGTGTAAACTTTTCTGTTTTAATTTCAGAACATAATCAATTGTTAATAATATTACGATATTATGTATCATAACCAAAAATCGTTTCAACTTACAAGTGATGAAAGAAGGAGTGCAAGTTTAGATATCATGAGCGCAGTTCCAGCAAGGAAAGCTATCTTTCCCATAAACATCTGACCCATCATTCCCGCCATGGCGAGCCCTGCCATCATCATCATACCACCATTCTTGTCCTTTTTCTTTCTTCCTGTAAATGTGAATATATGTGTTATATATGCAATGTTAGTCCTTAGTTTTAACTATCTTTTATTAGTTATAAGTATTACAGAAAATATAAAAAATTAAAACTGATTGTGAATGTTAATGTTATGTTGTCTGGGAATGTTTTATTATTATTCAATAAAAACTATAAAAACATTCTTTCCTATGTAAAACTTTAAAATGCAATAAAACAATCAAATAGCTATCTTAAAACAACCCCTCCGTAAACATATGAGTACTTATTATTTGCTATAAATAATAAAAATAACTAAGACCAGGTAAAGACTATTGAACAATCAATATAAAATAAAACGTAAATATTTATATAATTTTAATGATAAATGTTAAAATTATTGGGGGGCGGGCGCTAGAACAAATCTTGCATGCGGGCGCTGAGAACCCCAGGACTGACCGACCCTGCATACATACTTTTTCTATAATTTTGATTTTTTCTAATGTATGACAAAATATTCAGAAGGTTTTGGAACGTAAAGATATATAAACATTTTCATTTTCGATTCCTTTGCGATCACTATAACTTACCCTGCGGAAAGTTATTTTTGGAAAACTTCTCAAAATTGAATAAACTGCAATAGTTTTTTACATTCCGATGCTACAACAACTCGATATACTTATAAAGCACTCAAATAAATCACTAATTAACATATTGATTTCTTGATAATTAAGTCGATCATTTTTGATCGACACATTATTGATATCTGGACAGCTCTACGAGCTTAAGATGTTAACAACTCTGCAATTCGTTATTCTAACTCGCGTTTTAAAGTATTGCGCGGAATCTAATATAGTTCTCTAGATTAAAACTTACAGTAGGCAAAGTTGGATGGATTAGCAGGAATTGTCGGAGGATCGACAAAATTTTTGGAGGGCCTCTCGTGCTTGACACGAGGCCCCAATAAGACCTATTAAATATTATATAAGATATCCTTATTAACTTTCCGAAGGAGAAGTTTATGTTTTCATCAAAAAATCCGATTCGCTAATTTTATGTTTTCTCGACGTTTCAAGCCATTCTGAATCGAATGAGACCAAATTTGAAAAAAAGTATGTGTGTGTGTGTGTATGGGAACAGATTTTTTGCCGTAAATCGACGTTTTCTCGAAAACGGCTGGGCCGATTTCAAAAATTTGAAAGCCATTCGATGTATCTCGACGAGGACTATCGAACGATCGGCCAAGCCGTTTCTTTTTAAATCGCAGAAAAGTGAAAAATTTTTCGTCTACGTTTTAGCCCGCAATTCTTACTCGATTTTGAAAATTCAAAAACAGTTCGAAAGAAATTGAATGGCAATCGTGCTGATTAGTTATTGGTAAAAATCGGCCGGGCCGTTTTCTTGTAATAAAGTGTTAAAAAAATTTTTTTCGACGATTTTTATTATTATTTTTTTGACGGTAGATACTATAGTCTTCTAGATCATACTGAAATATTATGGCCTTACGACAATTGGTTTACCTTTGAAAATTCATCAAAGTTTGCAAAAATTGGTGTCGTTTTTTTGGCATTTGTCAAAATTAGACCTTCCATCGACGATTTCTCAAAAATGTCTGAACCGATTTCAGAAATTTAAAAGCCAATTGATGTATTTCGATGAGGACTATCGTTTGTCAGTTTTGTGCAACGATCTGCCAAGCCGTTTCTTTGTAATTTGAAAAAAAATGTTAAACCTTTCGTCCACTTTAAGCTCATCCTACCAAACCGATTTTTAAAAATCAAAAACTGTTCGAAAGATATTAGTTGGGAATGGTACTGATTAGTTTTAGGTGAAAATCTACCGAGCTGTTTTCTTGCAATTAACTGTTGAAAAAAAAATTTAAGCCAATTTTTATGAAACTTTGTTTGGCGATGTATATCATGGTCTTACTGAAATATTACGGCCTTACGACAAGTAGTTTAATTTTAAAAAATTATCAAAGTTTGAGAAAATGAGTAGTTTTTTTGACGTTAGCTAAAATTAAAACTAGACGATTTACTTTGTATAACAATATAGTACTTGGTCTTAAAAAACATACTAAACCATTAAAATCCTACCAAAACTGGTTTAAATATAATAATTGTTGATTTTTGTAAAGTTGCTTTTTGAAAATACTCCTAGTAAACGTGTTCGTTTGTTTTCAATTATGTGTAATAAATCCACTCATAAATTAATTTATGTTTTATTGATTAAGTCGATTATTTACACATATCGGGAAGTTCATGTAACTTGCCTCAAGGCTAAATACCAAACCAACTAGTTTATTAACTTCCCGTAGGGCAAGTTATAGTAATCTAAATAAATTGTAGAGTATTATTATTAGCTACAAAAATTATAAGAATAGCTAAGACCAGGTAGATACTATATTTTTTTATATTTATTTATTTCAGCCTAATGGCCTAGAAATACATCATAATCTTAAGTCACAATAATACCTTAAATCTACTTTATATACAAAAAAATAAGCAGAAAAGTCTAATCAGGGGGATCTAATAACTAAATAAATACTATTGAACATGATTACAAATAAAATAAAAAGTAAAAAATTTAGATAATCCTATTGATTGTTTAGTATTTAATAATATAAAATTAATAAAATAAAATAAAAGTATAAAGCATAATGAATATTGGTTCAACTCAAAAATCCAAAAAAGTATAGATTTTAGTTTTTGTTGCAATTTTGTTGATAAATTATATCAACAAATTATTATATCTTGAAAAATTAATTTTATGATAGTATATTTCAATATTCACATTCAAAATTCGTATTTTAAAATTCTTGACAAACAGTTTCATGTGCACGACTTTTATGAGCAATACCAAAAAATATTTTATATAATGAGTTATGTTCAATTAAATCTTCATGTAGATACCTACTAGCATTTCGATTATTAAAAATTGTTGTAAAATATAAAACTAACATTTAATTTAATTTTTATCTTATTCATATATTATCGCTAGATAAAAGTGCAAAACATATTTTAGGATGCTAATTAAACTGTAGTATTGGCTATTGAGACAAATTTTTGAAACATTCCTTTTTATAAACAAATATTTGATTAAAACAAATATGAAACAAAAAATTGAAAACTTTTTTTAAATGTTGGAAATAATCTCATTCAAAGTGTAATCACAAGTTAATAAATTTGCTGGTGAGCATGAACATAACTTGTATAACGATTTTTTCCCTCTATTAAATTTGCTTTGAAATGTAAAAAATTACCGATCTTAAATATTAAGCTTTAATATTAAAATTTATGAAAATTCTTGTTGCATATAAATGTGTTTGTTTTTGAATAATGCTGACTATATATATATAATATATATATATAGTCAGCATTATTATATATATATATATATATATATATACGCAAAAGTTGGTAATTATCAAATGTATTTTCAGCTGATATGTTAGAAATTAACATAAAATTTTTGAAACAGTAAAAGATCTAACGAAACGTGTAAAAAAATATTAGACTTGAAATTTTAATTACAAGGAGATATAACGGCAATTTTTTCATATAGGTCAGTGAATTTTAACAATAACTAAAAAATATTGAATGCTTTAGCATTTATTTAAATACTTCTTGAAATTTGAAATTTGCTACAAAATCGGACAAGGTATTACCTAGAAGTAATACACCTATTGAAATAAATATTTTTAAATTTGCAATTCAGTTTATAGGTACAATTCTTAGAAATATGAGGTAGGAAATTTTATTCTGACTCCGCTTGATTAAGTTTTGTTTATTTACTTTTCATGTAGACATATATAAACGTCGTCGTTTAATTCATAAGCTACAAAAGCTTTTGTCTACAAAACACAAGCAATGGAAGTTAAAGTATTAATAATCTATTTGAAAACATTTAAAATTCGTCGAATATTTCAATACGGTACGGGAAGTTCCAGCAATTTGCCTTAACACTCGATACCTTGCACCACTAGTTTGAATTTTTTAACTAAAATTGTTATTGAACATCTCCAATCGTTCGTCTCTTCTTCAATGCATGGGTTACTTTCTTATAAGTTTATTATCGGTAAATGAAATGTAATCAAGAAATGACCAAATAAGGGCCTGTTTTGAAACGTTCGAAATCTCGTCCAACTGAACGTTTGAACTTGCTGTGCAGTCAATAAACGTGAAACCAAGCGCACATATAACATCAGATACATTACTGAAGCCATAAAATATGAAAATGGAAGTAGAGCAAATCATGTATATTAATATCGTAGAGACACAGACCGTATCAAAGGCAAGTAAAGTAGTGGTTCAAAATAAATGAGCAAGGACTCCTTAGCACCTCGTGACCCACTTGTCAAATCATTTTGTAGCAGAGTTACCTACGCTTGAACCCAGTAACACAATTAAATGATCCGATCAAAATCTCATCGTTATCTTTCTATTGTTTGTCTTTTCTCGTGCTCGTGAATGCCATAGCATAGGAATATGCTTTTTTAAAACATTCCTTGGCGGCGGAGATGGCCCTATTGGCAACAAGCACGACTAGAATGCCAGAGATACTCGGATTGATTAATATACTTAAATATAGTATCGAAATTGAATTGTAATATTGAATAAATGTCGAGAAGATACACTCGTAATATGTAAAATCAATAAAATATTATATAGGGTAGGGCGGGTCCAGTTTGACTTTGAACAAAAACCAAATCAATTATATCAGAAAAGATACCACATATCAAATAAACAACTATCTGACAATGTTCAGTGAAATTCCTAGTTAAATAATCATTGTGGAAATGCATTTTATTTTCTGTTTTTCAAAAAAAAATTACTTGGTTCTTTTTACCCCATAGGCAGGGTAAAATGGGACAGCTAAGGGGTAAACAGATCCAATGTCTTATTTTTAATTTTAAAGGGTTTTTTTCAAAACAATAACTACAACACTCAACCAACGCAAATTATATAAATTTATTTTACATATTTTTCACAAAGATAACACTGTATATACCTTAATCTGGTATTTCGTCAGAA